ATAAATGCATTAGCTAAAGTAAATATAATTCACACAATCCACAGTTCTTTTTTTTTTTTTTTTTTTTTGGTGTTGCGGGGGATATCAGGGATTGAACTCAGGGGCACTAAACCCCCGAGCCACATCCCCAGCCCTCTTTTTGTACTTTATTTAGAGACAGGGTCTTACTGAGTTGCTTAGTGCCTTGCTGTTGCTGAGGCTGGCTTTGAACTCAATATTCTCCTATCTCAGCCTCCCAAACAGAGCTGCTGGGATTATAGGCGTGTGCCACCACGCCTGGCTCCACAGTACTTTTAACTCTCACATGGCTGGCTGGTAAGAAAGCAGGATGGAACTTGGCACATGGCAGTAGACTATAGGAAATTAAATAAGGTGATCCCTCTATGCAGCCATTCTCATCATAGCCACATGAGAGGAGCACAGCATTCAACTGGGAATATACCTCTCTGTGCTAGACTTTGATAATGCCCCTTTTAGCACAGATACAACTTCTGAGGATTGAGACCCATTTGCCTTCATGTGGGAAAAGTGTACTATGGACTTTCACCATATTACCTCAAGGATATCCCCACCTTGTGTCATGATACGGTAATAAACCTGGCTCCAACCTCCACTGGTAAAAATGTTTACATAATGATCATATCTGATTCTCTTTCAGTGCACACCAAGGCTACCCCCATGCTTTTGACTGACTTGCAAAGGAGAAGATGAGCTGTAAATCCTAAAAAAGTGCAGGGGCCTGGCTTATTGGTGTTGTCTGGTCAAGTAAAACAGAGGTTATAACTCAGGTTGTTATAGATAAAGCTCAAATATGTCTACCTCCCAACATAGTAAGCAAATACAAGAATTTGTGGGGCTACTGGGCCATTGGAGGGCTTCCATTCCCTTATCTGGGTCAGTTATAATGATCCCTATGTAATTTGTGCAGGAGGGATACATTATAGGACTCTACTGACTGGAGTACTGAGTTATTTAATCAAGCCAAATGAACAACAAAACAGGTGCATGCCCTTGGGACACTAGACACATTGATTGATACCTACTGAGCTTACTGTCCATGTCAGCCCAAATGATTTTGGTTGGGGCTCCTGGCATTGGATTAAGGGACATGAGACTTCTTGTTGATTTTTTCACAGTATAGAAAGGGGTGAGGGAACATTATTGCTTGTTGGAAAAATAATTGTATGCTACTTATGCTACCCTTCTTGCCACAAAGCCCATAACCATCAGAGTAGAACCAGTCAAGATCATACAACTAGCAAACATAAGATGGCTGGAGGAAGATACAGCAGAGAAAATTGCTACTTGGCTACATCATAGATTAATAATGCAGGACAAGACTGTGTGTCCAGCTATAACATACTGGGGACTGCACATGAAGATATCTGATATGGTCACTGCATTCCAGCAATGTCTTGCTTGCTGTCAGCACTACTCACAATGACTGGATGCCACCAAGGGGCATATCAAACAAGGTGCTGTCCCTCTTCAGCAGTGGCAAATAGAGTACATTGGCCCTCTCCCATTATCAGAAGGGACCTGCTATGCATTGACTTGTGTGGACACAGTTACAAGCTTGATGCAAGACTTCCCCAGTAAAAGAGTCAATTCAAAGGCAATTATTAAGGGACTGATCCTGCTGAGTTCCATGTATGGCACACCACAGGTAATTGAGTGACTGGGAGACTGTTTCACGGGCCATGACATATAACAGTGGGCTCAAAACCAAGACATATTGTGGGTTTTCCATCTGCTATACTATTTAAAAGGAACTGGGTTAACTGGAATGAATGGCCTGCTGAAAAAAGTCTTAAGGACTGGGGGCAACTCTATGCAGGCGTGGAATGCTTATCTGCCTGAAGCACTGAGGGCATTAAATGAGAAACCCAGACATCAGCAGCATGCAGACTTTTCTATGTTATCTCACTCATGTAAACTCATGGGCTGGGGCTGAGCTCAGAGACAGTGCACTTGCCTAGCCTGTGTGAGCACTGGGTTAAATCCATAGCACCATATAAAAATAAATAAGTAAAGACATGCTGTCCATCTACAACTCTAAAAAAAATCTACTGGACATTTTCTTAAACTGGCTTGGGGCACAAGTAACAGTTTACTGTTTCTGGCACCTGAAAACATATCAGAGACAGGAGTATTAGTTGACCATGGAAGCCGCTGGTGATTTGCCTTACTGTGATCCCTTGTGGGTCTAAACTTTACTTGTAAACCTAAACTAACAAGTAAAGCCCACTGTGTGGGGAACCTGGCCCTCACAAGTACCAGTGATGTCACCCTTGTACACCTGAGGAACACTTTGTATCAGTTTATGCCAGTTACATTTCAGAGTGTCTTATTCTTTCTATGCCCCCAAAGTGCAAACAGATAGCTTGGCATGGTGCATTTGCTTAGGCAGGGCTACTTTGTAGGGTCCTCTACTAACAACAAGATCACACAGTAACTGGTATACTGCCCCATGGAGCTTATTTGCCATTATTGGTGCCCATTAAACATTTGCCATATTCTCCATAGGTTAGCAACAAGTAACCTTTTCCTGGACTGGGCAACAGAAGTTGCACATCATGCCAACCAGACCCACTGTTGGATCTACTCAGAATTCTGTGTACCTGCAGCACAAGAACTTCCCTGGGTATGGAATGGACTTGCAATCTTAATTACTTTAACATCCTTGTTGATAGGTTCTTGCTCTTTGTACTGCCCTAGTAAGATATGGATGCAGGGCTCCAGAGCTCTGTCCTGAGGACTTTCCAAAAGACATGGGCAGTACATTTAAGGGCTTCTGAGGCACTGAAGGAGTGGAGTGTTTGGGAAAACACTAGTTAGTACCTAGGAAAGTTTGTTGTTCCAAAAAGTAGTTAAGAAGGACTCTGAAGAATGTGATAATGGAAATAGAGAGGGGAAACTTTAGATGAGGATCAAAGCAGTGACTTTGGTTGTAAAGTAGAAGAATGTACTCATAAAATATCTAAAGAAATGTTAGATTGTCCACCTGGGCAGTGGGTATGCCCCCTATCCTGTACATTTCCCCTGCTTCTAAATGCAATGCAGCCCTCCATTGTAATACCCAAACCCCCTCCATTGAATCCTTTGATTTTTTTCTTTGTGATTAGTAAATAGTATGTTTGTGGCATTTGCAGCCCTGGGGTTAAACAAAGGGGTTCCTGGAAACCCCAATTTATAGTTAGTTTGTCAGTTGGCTAGAAACTCTTGTCAAACAACCTGGATATTGCAAATGGCATTGGAAGTGGGGGTCAGTCTCATGAGACTGAATCCTTATCCTGTGGTATCTGCCACTACATCCAGGTGGAGAAAGTTATAATTGAATTAATGGACACCCAGCCAATGTCACCCACAGAGCTGGTTGTTGTTGGTGGTGGGGGGACATTTTAACACATACACACACTTCTTGGTGACCAGAGGTCATAGAACTCTTCTGTGTTGATTGTGGAGTAAGAGTATGGGAGAAACTGTTTTTGTCCTATATTCTCAGACCCCAACCCACTTTTGGTTAATTAACACCAGGGGACTGTTGAGAGCCAGGCAGCAGGAGATCTAGACAGCAAAGCTATACCTTTGCAGTACACCAGGAGAGGGTGTTTCTGCCTTTTCCCTTTTTTGGGTTAGGAGGGTTTGTGAGTGTGTGTTGCTGCCAATGGGATCCAGGATCTTGCACATACTGGGCAAGTGCTCTACCACTGAGCCACATTCCCAGCCGTTTTTGTTTTAGTTTGAGATAGGAACTCACTAATTCTGCCCAGGCCAGCAGAATTTGTGATCCTCCTGCCTCAGCCTCTGCAGTATCTGCGTTTATAGGCATGCACAATGGCTCCTGGCAATGATTAGGATTTTGTTTATTTCCCATTTGTGAGCAGCCATAGATTAGTAATCATGCGCTGCTTACTCCCACTGATATGAGCAACCCTCAACACTTATATTCCTAGATCAAGTTCTTCCCTGTTATGACATTCTTTTCTACCTAAACACAAATCTGCTCACAGACGCTTTCCCAGACCACCTGGGATCCCACTCTAATTTATTTAAGTGTCTTGCTCTGGGATCCCCTTTTTGATCTCAACACTTTGACTAAGTCCTTGCCCTGTGATCAGATGAAGTCTGTGTCCTATGACAATGCCTCACTGATGCTTTCTTTGATGTTTGGATTGCAAACCAGGACGGATCTTCTCTCCTATTGTTTTCAGCCCTTTAATTCTACTATCCAATGCAGAAGCATCTTCCCTTCTTTGGCATAATAGATCAATACTTCCCACAGAAGCAAAGGCTGCTTCACAAATATGATCCAGATTGATCCATTAATCCCACCTGTCTGGGGCATCTGAAGCATCCAGATGTTAACAGATCTGTAAGAATAAGAGCCCAATCAGCATCCTGAACACTTTCTTTTCAATTAAGGCAAAAGGGGAGGTGCCTTTGGGATGCAAAGCTGTTATGCTGTTAATTATGCCTAGATTTAAAACAGATAAAGGTTTCATTTTGAAATTGCGGGTGGGGGTGGGCTGGGGTTGTGGCTCAGCGGTAGAGCGCTCGCCTAGCACTTGCGAGGCGCTGGGTTCGATCCTCAGCACCACATTAAAATAAATAAAAATAAAAGTATTGTGTCTACCTACTACTAATATATATATATATATATATATATATATATATATATATTTTTTTTTTTTTTTTTTTTTTTAAGACATTGCCTGGGACCCTCTTCCTCCTTCCAAGACCTCCTGCGGCTCTGGTCAGGGAAGACCAATTCTACACGCTTCTTCTAATTCGTAGTTTATCTTATTTAACGACATTTGTCTGACACCTCAGCGTTTTCCCTACCCACTGCGGTGGGGAGCTTGGTACTGCACGAAAGCAGTGAGGGTGGAACGCTGGACACAAGCAGGAGAGAGGAGGGGCGGGGCGTTGGGCGAGGCCTCGAGGGGCGTGGCCACAGGCGTGGCGTGGGCGGAGCCTGGGAAATTCCCCGGCGGAGGCTGGGAGCTGGCGCTGTGGTCAGCTGAGCGGCGCCGGGCGGGTCGCGAGGCCGAGCGTAAGCCCCCCAGCCCCGCCGCTCCGGTCCCCGCCCTTGGCCCTTCTCCCAGCCGGCGTCCACATCCGGGCCGGGAGCTCTCCTCCAGGGCCACGATGCCTAGGGGTCAGTGACATCGAGAGAAGCCGATCGCCGGCGGCCGGTGAGCTGTGATAGGGGGCGACAGGGACTGGGTGGGGGTGGCTCCTTCCTTGGCGAGTGCTTCTCGCCCAGGAAGCGGTTCCCCCCTCTCGGCTCACTGCGGCCCGAGCTTGCCGGCTGAGGATGACGAGGGTTGGGGCGGCCATGGGGCATACCTCCCGTGGGACAACTGCCTTGCGAGGGTTTTCAGGCCGGGATCATGACCTGCTGTGAAAGGGCGACCGGTGCGGCCACCCAGAGGGTTCCTGAGCCCCGGAATGGTAAAAACACCGGCTTGGTTAGCTGCAGGTGATTTCCTCTGCAGGTCACCGAGGTGTTTTGAGGGTAATGTCCTCTTGTAGGAGGAAGTGGTTAAAGGTGCACTCTTGGAAGACATGAAAACACTATCAGTGAGGTGTTCCAGGAACAGGAAAGAGTAGTGACCCCTCTCCAAGGTGGTGGGCTTACTGGACAGGTCAGAGTCGTCAACGTAAACCGTTGTGTCTGGGAAGGTGTGTGATATCTCTCTCTCTCTCTCTCTCTCTCTCTCTCTCTCTCTCTCTGAAATCTACATATATATGTAGATTTTACTTTATGTAGCTATACAGATAGATATACAGCAGAAGGGAAGAGAATGAATATTTGATGAGGCTGAGAACTTTAAAGGAATTGCTTTTACAGTCAGAAATGTGTAAGATGAGGCAATAAACAGGCTCAGAAGAAATGAAACCTAGCTTCTGGCCAGGCCTTGCCACCAAGAGCACTGTTTATGGAAATATGTGCCACAGAGGTGTTTAAGGATGAAATGGACAACTAAAGCCTTACGGAAAGACTTAGAAAAATACAGAAGACAGTATCAGGATGCTCAGAGGCTTAAAAACTAACTAGCAGAGCAGCACTGTAACGAGCAGCCAGCCATCTGGCTCTTTTGACCTAGGGAAAGAAGAGGTGGGGAGCCAAGGCTGCCTCCCAGGACAGGCCTATTTGTATTGTACTAGAGAGGACCCAGAGCAGAAGCCAAGGCCAGGGACTGCCCTGGAATGGACAAGACAAGGGCAATTTGAGTGTGGTTTGTAGTGGACAAGGACTGATTTGAGTCTGAAGGGTGTGTGATCTGTTATTTCACTGAATCTGTTTTAGGAGTTCTTTATATATTGTGTACAACACTATAAAAGTAACACCGTCTTTGTTTTACAACAAAACTTTAACCTGTATATTATGATACAGAATTGAGATTTCCCTCTAAATAAACTTGAAAGGAATTGATCAGTGTATTACTTTCCTTCTGATTCTCAAGTAGTAGCACGTAGGTGTTCTCACCATGAAAAATACCCAGTGATCCTCAAACCTGCTTATCTGAATTTTATAGAGTTGGCCCATTTTTAAAAAATATTTATTTTTTAGGTGTAGATGGACACAACACAATGCCTTTATTTTTATGTGGTGCTAAGGATCGAACCCGGGTCCCGCCTCGCTCCACCGCTGAGCCACAATCCCAGCCCCTAGAATTAGCCTACTTAATAAGTTCTTTAGAATTTATGGTATGGTAAACAAAAGGCAAAGGGAAAAAAATTAAAATCTTAAAAATAAAATCTATTTTAAAAGTTTTCATTGTTTCCACTTCAACATGTGTATTACAATGGAGCATGAGAATATATGTTATGAGATAATATTTTGATGCCTTTGCAGTGATATTAAAAAGCAATTTTGATTTTTAAAATAGGTTTTAAAGTTGATTTAAAAAATCTGGAAGCGAATGCCATAGAACTGTAGGAAAACATAATAATACCAGCATGTGGGGTTTGTCATTTATACAGCAGAAAACATTTTATAGGTGTTAGACTTAAAAATACTTCATTATGCTGTATTTTCATTTCATTTCAGCAAACATGTTTGGAAGCCTGCTGTATGCAGTCTTTAGTAAGAATAACATGGAGAGAAAATAGATGGGCATAAGATGACAACAGTGTGGGGAAAGAAGGCCAAGGAGGTTGAGACACAAATTGCTCTTGAGTGCTTAGGAGAAGAAAGAGTTCATTTGATACATGACATCATATTTGAGATGGACCTTGAACTGTCCAGTGCAAGTTTCCCAGGGCAAAAAGGGAGTCAGATATCTAAGGCAAATGACAAAAGAGAGACAAGGGTGCAGAGGCTAAGAACACAGAGAATTATGAGCCTTTCAGTGTACCTGAGTATGAGTAGTTTGGTAACAGATGACACCGGTAGATAGGTATGTTGAAAGGCCATATTTGTCTTGCCAGAACTCTGTCTTATAAGAATAGTTGTACTCAGGTAATGACCTCATGTTATAGAAGAGACAATGGGACTGAAATGGAAAGAGATAAAAGTCAGACCATTTAGGCAGCTATTAAAATCCATTCAATAAGGATATATTGAATCTTTCATTATATGTTTTACATAATGTCCTTAGGACTGGGGGTACAGCAGTAGACAAAATAGACCAAAACAAAACAAAAACAAACAAAAAATCCTGTTCTCAATGGTGGTCAGCATTTCCAAAGTCCAGACAAACTAAGAAGGGCCTGAGCTAAGCCTATGGGGATGAAGAGGAGATTAAGAAACATTTAGTGGGTGGAAGAGACTACTATTTGAAAATCCATTAGACTTGACAGAAGAGGGAATTGGAAGTATCAAGCATCACTCCCAGGTTCCTATCTTGGCGACTAGATTAAAGCTGTTTCTGTTTTCTGTGTAATAGGAAGATACCACATCAAACTAGAATTTCTGGTATATAATAGTAAGACTTCTTTTACCTCACTGGTAGGATGCATAAATACTCTTTAAGTTCTTTTTCCAGTATGGTGATGGGTTTAGCTGATGCAATCTTGGAATCTTAGCACCTCTGTTAATACATACTGGAAGAACCAACTATACTGCCAAGAGCCAACTATTATCTCTGATCAAGAAACAAGTTTTCACTTTAAGACTAATTTATCCCAGCTCAGGAGACTGAGGCAGGAGGATTAGACAGTTGTTGGTTCAGAGCCAGCCTCAGCAATTTAGCAAAGCCCTAAGCAACTTAGTGAGACCCTGTCTCAAAATAAAATATAAAAAGGACTGGAGGTGTAGCTCAGTGGTTAAGCACCCCAGGGTTCAATCACTGGTACCAAAAACAAACAAACACAACAACAACAACAAATGTGATTTATCCACGTAGGGATTGAACCCATGAATACTTCAGTAGCAAATTTGAAGGCACAACTACACCAGGGTAAGGGCCTAATCTTATTTTGTGTCTAATGTCTAGTGGGTAGAAGCCAGTGTAAAGTAAATTCTACTTAACACATTACAGTTTTCTGGCCATCAGCCATCCTGTAATAGAAGAGACAGTGCCCACAACTTGAATTATTGCTCATGTTTTCTGTCATTGAAGTATTCAAACCTGTTTTGTGAACGTGCACCGTGTAAACTAGACAAGACATTCTTGCTTTGAATAAGAAGTTGGACTAGATTATTTCTAAGGCCAACTCAGGAATGAGATTTATTTCCATGTCTCCAAGGTCAAGTCATTTCTATAATTACTTGATCTCTGGAATTAAAAATACGAATGTATGATGTTAGGAATTCAGGTAGCAGATCTAAGAATAAAATCTAGATTTTTGCTTTTGACCTTCTACCTACCAGGTAGTTATCAGTCTTCCTTAATTGTGAAATATTGACAAATTCTGTGCTCAATCCTTCCATTATTAAATATCACTTTTTCTGAGAACTGACACACTTCAGATTGAGGTCATTTAGATTATTATGAGAAAATCTGTTATTAGAATTTTGGACTAAATGACATTGTTCCAATTTCTGTAATCCTTGAATATATGTGCAAAGATTTATAATATACCTCCGTGTTTGCCCACTTGAATGTTTCTCAAGGTGATGTTAAAACTTAATTGTAAGTTTTCCCTAACTGGCATTCTACCAATAGATATTTCATATGTGCACTCTACAGAGATCACTCATAATGATTCCTCCAGAACATTCTAAAACCATAAAGTGCCCTTGAGTCATCCAAAATTATTTTATATTAAATTACTGTTAGTAAAATTTTGATAGAATCTATATGCTATGGTTGCCATGCATGCTAACTTCTTATTTACTATGACATTTGAATTAAAAACTAATTTTTCCTAACAATATTGGATAAAAAGAGTTTCCCATAACTAAGACAGGTATATGAATTGGTGAGAGGCATGCTCATGAGGGTGTGTCTGTATTGAAGGGTAAAGTAGGACTATAATCTTAGAAACCAAAGAATACCTTTTACAGGGTTGCTGAGCTGAGAGCAACAATGAAGCATATCATCTGCTATACCAGTCAGTGAGTTATCACAACAGGTCAGGTGACTTCCCAAGGCCACACATTTGGCTAGTGGTATAAGTGCTTTTCTACTGCCTCTTTTAGCACAACCCTGCTTTTTCGAATGTCCTTATAAAACCTGGACAATCTGAAAAAGCTGGAAGCACTGATATAACAACTAGAACTGTTTTTACCTTTATTATGGATTTATCTATAGACTTGGTAAAGGTGTCAAGGAAGGTCAAGGAGGAAAAACATCTGAATACTTTTCAAGGGAACATCCCTCTCCTTTCCCTTCCCCTCTTCCTTTCCCTTTCTATTCCTTTTCCCTTGGAAAGACAATTAAGGGAAAATTTGTTCATATGAAAAGACGAAACTGAGCACATCTCCAGATAAGTGTTTAGATATTTAAAAAAATATTTTGGGCTGCAGGTGTAGCTCAGTAGTATAGCACTTGCCTAGCATGCACAAGGCCTTGGAGTTGATCCCTAGTACTAAGAGAAAAAAAATGTGTGTGTGTGTGTGAGAGAGAGAGAGATATGCACCCTTGCAAACTATAATGTAATTGATGAATACCTAAGGAAATTTTATATTGGCTGATGAATTACACATTTAGGCCTGTTACCTAGAACTTCATTATTCCTCTGCAAAATAGGTATGAAAACTGTTATAAGAAAACCCCATTAAAAAAAAAAGGAAACCCTCATTTTAATGAAATGTTGGCACCAAGATCATTCTGTTCAGAAAATTCATGAAAGTCATAGATAGACATTAGCAGTTTATTTCTTTTTCTTTCTTTTTTTTTTTTTCTTTTTTTGCTGGGGGAGAAGAGCAGTCTGCTTTAGCTCCTTAATGCTAAATGATGGAACATTTTACCATGATACCTTTTTTCTAGATCAATTTACTTGTGTAAGACATAAATGTAAGAGGTTCAGAATTGAGTAAAATGCTTTATCAGTGTTTTCCATTCATAAAGTAGCCATTCTCATGACTAGTTCATGAGTATGCATTCCTTTGTGCTGACTGCTTTAGGTAGAAATCGCATGGCTTAGTGGCTCCGCAGGACCTGCTGTTTCTATTGGTGGTAGCATTGTCTCTGATTGCCTACAAGTTCTTCACAACCAAAAGCAGAGTGCCATCCTCTCATTTCCAAAGAACAGACAGAGGGCTGAAACCCTTGCCTCTTGTTATATGTTAGAAGGCAGTTCTCTTGCCTCTGTCTTGCAGTGACTGATTTCATGCACAATTCAAAGGGGCCACACAGGCTCTGTAATCATGAGGAGCTGATGGGTCTTAGAGCAATGCCTTTCTCCCATTAAAAATGGGCTTGCACACTTCTTCATCCTAGGGCCTTCTTTGGTGTCAGTGGCTTTTGTATAGCTTTATAACCCATCCACATCAGTTCTTGATGAAAAAAAAAGTGTGAAGATAAAAGATTTTTCACAGAGCATATAGCCAGTCATGGAATGATGTCCCTGTTTCTCTGGGTGGTACATAATAAAGAAATAGAGTTGGTATGTACTGTTATCTTGTATTTTTAAGTCCACATTGCCCCATTTACAAAATAAAGTGTATGTGTAGAAATATTTTCAGAATACAAAATAGCAAGATGACTTAAATTTTTTTGGTATATGCTTTGAAAAATATGATATTGAAGGCCATGTATTTAGTAGCACCTTTATTGTATGATTGGGTGGGTGTGGAAATCATCTTTTGATACTTGTTTGTGCCACTTCTTGGCCATGAACAAGCTGTATACCTCTGTGAACTCAGCTTCTTCATAGTAAAATAGCTACCCGGGTGACTTTTAATGAAGAATATAGGGCAATGACAGGTTTGGGTGGTGTTTTAGCACAAATTAAGCATTGAAAAAAATGTTAACTCTCCCCTTCCTTTTAACCAAAAATTTGAGAAGTAAATATATGGAAATTAACAGTTTTACTGAGATATAATTCACATATCATACAATTCACTCAAAGTAATGAGATTTTAACTTAAAGATTTGCATTGGAAAATTTATTTAATTATGCTTTGCACATGTCTACACATACCCTTCCTTCTCATTTTCCAGTCTTTCTTACTGTACCCCTTTGTACACTCATGTATACACACATGCATGTTTCTCTGAAACTGGGATATGCCTTTTTGTTTAAAACAGAAAAAGAATTTAAAAAGTTCAAAATGCAAGTGGAGAAAGTTGGCAACTTTGGAAATAAATATTAGTAATTATTAATGGATCTGTGAGACTCAAGGACACCCCTGGTGGAGGGGGGCATGGCTAGATTTTTAGGTTGTGGCTTTTCCATAGGAACTTCTGCCATGTCCCACCAACCTCTCAGCTGCCTGACTGAAAAGGGGGACAGTCCCATTGAGACCACAGGAAATGGACCCCCCATTCTGGCTCACCCCAGCCTGGATACATTCACCCCAGAGGAGCTGCTGCAGCAGATGAAGGAGCTCCTGGTTGAGAACCACCAGCTGAAAGGTGAGCAGCCACCCTACATGTGTTCTCCACTCACCTGGGGCCTTTATGAAACATAATTCCTTTGTAACAAACCTCCTCTTGAGCCCAGATGGCTTTTGGTAGAGTTAAAATGCTTTCTGTTTTTTACCTCTTGATAACGTAAGAATAAAACATATTCTGTCAGGGGACTGGTGATGTTGCTCAGAGCAGAATGCTTGCCTATCATGTGTAAGGCCCTGGGATGGATCCTCAGCACTGCAAAAAAAGAGAAAAAATATTCTCTCAGGGGAATAGAATAGTGATATTTAGTCTATTAAGGAGGAAAACAAAGGAAGGCTGCTTTGAATACAGACTTAGTCCTAAATATTACCTATTCATAGGAAACATTCTGATATGTCAAACTATGGCTTTTGGCAGAATGGGTGTTCTCATCACAGAGTGATAGGACCTTTCTTAGTCTCCTAGTTAGAAATGGGAATCTGGGCTATAGTGGAGGTATCCAAATCATTTTTTTTTTTTCTTGATACTTTGAGGACTAGAAATGTTAGACCCACTAGTCCTGTCTGAAAGCAAAAACCACTCACCCGGATATAGTCTTTTCTCCTGCTGATCCTTGGGCCCAGGCCAAGGCTGGCCTGTTTAGATCCAGAGCCAAGTGGCAAAGTGGGCTGTGGGCCTATTTGGTCCATTCTCCTGGTGTGTGTGACTTCCTCATTCTGACCTCCATACAGAAGCCATGAAGCTAAATAATCAAGCTATGAAAGGGCGATTTGAGGAACTCTCAGCCTGGACAGAGAAACAGAAGGAAGAACGCCAGTTTTTTGAGATACAAAGCAAAGAAGCCAAAGAGCGCCTGATGGCCTTGAGTCATGAAAATGAAAAATTGAAGGAAGAACTTGGAAAACTAAAAGGGAAATCAGAAAGATCACTTGAGGTGAGAAGACTGATAAATTATGATGTTATTTCTTAGTATTTTCAATAGAATCTTACTTGTCTAGACTTCTAGGTGAAAACCTTTCATGATTCAGGCTGGACAAGTTTTAGTATAAAGTGTTTTGGTGAAAAAAAATTAATTGCAGTTTTTTTTAATATGTTCTTAGTTGTTGATGGACATTTATTTATTAATTTATATGTGATACTGATAATCAAACTCAGTGCCTCACACATGCTAGCTAGGTAAGCGCTCTACCACTGAGCCACAACCCCAGCCCTTGATTGCAGTCTTAAGCCTGTATAATCTCTGCTGGGGAAAAGAAATTTGTAAGGCTTTAATCATGTTGACTGTAGTCCAAAGAATACTGAGGCGATAAATCAGCATTTCATATTCATTATAGCGATGCAGGTGGACCTCTGCTTTGAATCATCCAATTGTTGGCTTTTAGATTATGTCTCTGATAAAAATTACATTTAAAACATCTATTACTCAGTATTTTTACTTATTGACTTTGTCCTTTCTCTCAATCTAAAATGGAGATAATTCACTTTACATTTCCTTTTGAAAAATGACTTGTCAAATGCCACGTTGTGATGAGAGGCTGGCTATAGAGTTGCCATGGTTAAAGAGAAAGAGACATATCACCCAAGTAACCTGGGAAATGTATTCATACTAGAGAGTAGATGTCAAAGGTGTTAGTGAAAAACAAACCAGGACACATTGGATGTCCCTGCCAATATACCAAGGGTCACTGGTTATTGTTCATTTGGGTGGACATCTGCTATTCATTTTCTTCCAACCTGGCACTTAACCCTTTGGAAAATGAAGTACTTGGTTGTATTAGGGAGGATGTATTCTAGCTATGAGTGATTTTTTTCTTGAGACTTTTTACCTTGAACTTTGTTGATCTCTATTTTCTTGAATGGGTAAGGAATAGAAAGAAAATTAAAAGTAATTGAAAAGGGGGATGAATAATCCAAAACATGAAAAGTTGATTACAAAAATACTACAGTTCATATCAATGATCTTACTCATCATCCTGCTCATGGAATGATGAATATTCTGCTTGAATAAATTTATATTTGTATTGTTGGTAAGATTTATCATGCCTGATCCGTCAACTTGTCTTACTATTCAAAGTGCATGAAGTTGTTTCTTTGTGGGGGGAATTTCTCATTAGCTAAATATTGTTGAGGTAAAATTCTCTGAAGAAATGATCACCTAAGATATATGAATGATTTTCTAATCTCAAGAAGAAAATATCTTAAATTATGTTGCTTCCTTGGATTTTGGAATGTGAGCTGACTATTGGCTTTAGCCAGCTGAGGCCTATTACCCTGAAGCCAAGATGGCAGCTTCCAGAAGCAGTTTATCTTTTTGAGCTATCTGCCTATGGGTTTTCCTAGAAAGCTCCAGAATTGGAAGAAGTTAAAATCAGAAACTGAAGCTTTGGATAGCTGTTTCAAGGCAGGTAATCAGAGGACACAAACTCCACATGAGGATGAATAGAGATCTCCCTTGGAGGTCTACCTTCTGATCCTCAGGGTGAGGCCAGGCACTAGTGGTTCTGTCTGATTTCACTGAATTATGCATTAAAATTTTCTCCAAGGGAGTGTTTTCTACCTTAATTGTACAAATGGCTATGCAGGGTCAATAGATAGAATCCTTCTAGGATTCTAAGTTTGCATATTAACTTAGGCACATTTTCAGGACAGTGGGAGGAAAGATTGTACAAATACATGAAAAGACAAATTGTGTCACATGAAGGTCAGTGGTAAGGGCTCAAAGTGATGAAAGAGAGCAACAAAGAATGGAGTTGGAATAGAGATCAGAGCTAAACCATAGGAGCGCTAATCCAGGAAGCAAAGGAAAGGATTTCAGTAGTAAATGAAGGGAAATTTGAAGGATTATCTTATAAGGAGTTTCATGGAAAAATAATTGGATTTATTATTTCCTGAGTACAATTAAGGGAATTGTGAAAAAGAAAATTTAGACTAATAATCTGAGATTCTAATGTCAGTTTTTTATCCTTGATCCTCAAACACTTGTTTAAAACTCTATTTTCTCTCCTTATACCAAAGTGTATAAAAATGCTTTCTACAAAATGTCCTTAGAGAGGTCAAGAGGGCACACACAATGATTCCTAAAAAGGAATCGTTCCTGGTTCTAGGTGAGGTAGTACCTATCCTTTTCCTGTTTCATTCTTCACCTTTGTTTCTTTTGTGTGAGTCATTGCTGAGAGAGACTGCACAGCTTCTGACCTTTCCTTGGAACTTGCTTCTTGGGGTTCTTTGAGCTGCTTTCCTTTGAATGTGTGGTAGTTCCCAGCACGGCACTGCTCCAGCTGAAGGCAGAGCATCACCTGGGCAGCGGGAGGCCCGTCGGGTTACAAGTCAGTAACTGGTTCGTGGTCCAGCCACGTGTCTTTCTCATACTGCTAAAGTTCCACTCTGAACCTTTGGGCCTGTTCTTTGTTTCTTGGGAAATCTTTTAGAGAGGTTAAGAGAGGAAATTTTCAGACAATGCTGACTACAAGTTAGGGATCACTCATTTAAATTATTTGTTTAGAGATCATGTTGATAATACTTAATTAGGCTAACAGTTTCTGAGAATTAAGATTTTTCTTTAAAGGCTGGTCTCAAATATTTGTTATTTTTCACTGTACTATTAAGATGCAGGGAATGCTGAAATTTTCTGATGCTCTCAAGCATCTATACTCCTAATTTGGAAAGGGAACTAAATGAAGCATGTTGTCATGCACATAGAGCCATGGAGGTTTCTTAGGGAGAGAACCAACTATGTGTGGTGTCACATTTTCCTTTCTAACCTAAAAGAACTGAGGCCAGGAATTTCAGGGATTCTGTTAAAGGCCATATACCTCCAGTGATGGGCAGAGTATAGACAAGATCTGTTCTGCCTATTCCCAAGTGAAAATGCCACACCTGAAAAGGGTCTTTCTCCTGTGATGTTGACATATGCAGTCATTGCAACAGGGTGAACACAATGCATAGTAGGCACTAGTGGGATATTAGTTTTTATAGGCTAAAATTTATTTATTTATTTATTTATTTATTTATTTATTTATTTTGCTTTTGGTACCAATCTCTGAATTTTAAATTTCCTATTTCTCAACAGATTTATTTTTACCAACTTTCAAACACCAACATAGAATATTGTACCCACCAGCTTACATATTGGGAGGATTTGGGTTTTGCTGTCACGGGACCAAGTAATATCCTTGGTGCTTTGGCTTCTAATTAGATATCATGAGTATAAGGAGAGCGGGGATAAGTGGACATTTCTAGGGAGGAAAAAAGGTAGGAGTTTGAGTTAGCACAGCTTTTTCTTCTTGTTTTCTAGAGTTTTGGCCAAAATCACCATTGCCAAAATCTGGTTGGTTCTTTTCATAATATCCATATTCCAATGTGCTATTGAAGACTTACTTTCTTGTCATGAAGTCATTTTAAATTTCTGTTATTTGAGTACAGCACAAATAATGTAAAATGCTGGGCATTGTGTCATATGAATCCTAGCTACTCCGGAGACTGAGGCATGAAGATCTCAAGTTTGAGGGCAGCCTATGCAACTTATCTGTCTCAAAATAAAAAATAAAAAGGACTAGGGATGTAACGCAGTGGTAGAGAGTCACTGGGTTCAATACCCAGAAACGCACACACAGTAAAAATTTCCACCTTAAATGTTCTGTTAAAATACATGTCAAGTAAAAGCTGGGTTTTCTATTTAAACCAGGGGACAAAGATATTGAAAACAGCCTTGTCCATGAGTGTGAGGACAGTCAAGTTTGATGGGTAGGCCTTTGGTTTGATTTCCTTATGTGCTATTCTCCTTGTCATTTCCAGGACCCCACTGGTGACTCTAGGGTTCCCAAGGTGGTAGCAGAGCAGGAAGTGGAACAGCTGAAGACCCAAGTGGCACGCCTTCAGGCTGAAAAGGCAGACCTGCTGGGCATCGTGTCTGAATTACAGCTCAAGCTGACTGCCAGCGGCTCCTCAGAAGACTCCTTTGTTGAAATCAAAATGGCTGTAAGAGTTTTGTTTTTGGTCTTGTTTTAAGCAAACTATAAAGCCTCATCTAGACAGAGGAAACAATTACCACAATTTTTTGCCAACGATGGAAGTGAAATAATGAGGAAATTTCAGTGTAGCAATGATAAATTGGCTCCCATTTTTTTTAAGTACAATGCTTGCAAGGGTTTCCTAGCTAAAATGAAAAATATAAATTACCTTTTATGACAAAAGATATAAACATTTTCCCCAACTTGTCCTGGCAAATTGGATGTTTTGTGACTGACCTAAAAACAACTCAAAAACAAAAAACATGTATGAACTTTCTGGTCATTTTTTAAATCAGGTCTCAAAGCTGTAAGACCATTTCACTTAGATGAGCAGAATTGTGATCAAATGTAGTAACAAATGGTTTTTAAATACTTTTTAGTTGTGGGTTTCTCTTTTCAAAATCTTATGAGGAACCATGGAAATTAAAAATGAGAAGAGAGGGAAGAGCTGTTCTGGTGGTAGATTTGTGGCCAAAATCTTGGTCATTGTCCACAAAGCCAATCCAATAACAAGGACAGGATTTTGAGAAAAAGGAAAAAAGAAGATTTATTGCTTTGCTAGCAAAAGAGAAACACAGGGGACTCCTGTCCCAACGGCCATGACTCTGCCCATCAGCAAGAACAGGGGGCTTTTAAAGAGGTGACTCAAAGGCTATATTCTGTGTGTTCTCTGGAGTTGTAATTCACTTGTTCATTTGGGAGATAAGACCTTTCTGAGAACTTCTGGTACCATCCCCAAAGTCTGGATTACTTCATTCCTATGGTGAGTGTGTACTCTGCCTAGGATGGGGAAGAAAGGTAATCCTGTTTCCCCTGAGATTAGGGAGGAGCCAGGAGAGAGGAGGAGAAAGAAACATGTCCATTTAAAAAAATAAGTTGCAGTGGCAGAGCAGTAAGAATTATACTCAAAGCATAAAGTGGACCACTGTTTCAGGTTGAGGGGTATATGAGAACTGAGTTTGAATCCAGTGCTGTCAAAGTCAAATTCCTGTCAACCCAAAATGAAGTGAGCTAAGCAAGGTGGTGTATATTGATCCCTAAACTCTTGTGAAGTATCTGTTACGACTGTTTCTGGATATACACATAGTCCTGTTAAAGAGCAGAATGGGTATGTAGATCATGTAGGGGCCTCTCCTTCAATGACACTACAAAAGATTGGACAGTGAAGGAGAAAAACACACAAGGATAAAATCCTCTGTAATATAGGAGGGTCATTTGAGCTTTGTCAAAGTGCAGATCTGATATAGGAAAAGAGATAAATTGTGCCCTGAAAGAGGAAATGGACTTTATAGATCAGTCAGGGGTAGTGGGGATCAACTTGAAAAGCACCTGAACTGTTAGGTATTCTGGAATATTACTGTGGGTCTTCCTTATTCACTTACCACACTAAAGATTAACAGAGTTGGAAAATGGCTCTTAGTGACCTTACTATCCATGCCAAAATCAGGAGAAATTTAGGTTTGAAAAGGCTCCTTTATCAGAGTGTCCCTCCTGGAAGATTACTGAAGCAGAAATTTGATCAAAGAGCTTTAACCTTCTGCAAATAACTGATAAAATTCAGGAAGCCCAAAGAGTATATCGGACTTCTCCAAATTAGGCTTGTTCTCTTACAGTTAACATCATCTTCTGCCTCACAGATAAGTGACAGTTGTGCTTGTCTCACTGCTGTGAACTTGAAAATACTGCACAAGATTTAGAAAGTGCAGCTCAGGAGGCTGAGGCAGGAGGATTGCAGGTTTGAAACCAGCCTCAGCAACTTAGTGAGGCTATAAGCAACTTCATGAGAACTTATCTCAAAATAGAAAAATTAAAAGGGCTTGGATGTGTGGCTCAGTGCGGTATCAAAAAAAAAAAAAGATTTAGGAAGTATATCTACAATATCTGTTATAATTTTTGAAGATTTCCCTATTAGTTTATTTGAATATAACTGCCTTGCAAATACTGCTTTAGTCTTACTTAACATCCCTAAATGGCCTATGGTGCATGCAAATTTCTAACAAGCCCTAATTTGGCAAAAAAAAAAAAAAAAAAAAGATGGTAAGCCTCATCCAAAGAAAATTGCCTCTTTGTCAACTTTGATTCACAGAGTTCTAGTATTTTACATTTTAAAGGGCTGCACAAGAAAGATACGTGGGATTGTTAGCTGTGTGGTCTTAACCTAGGGAAAAAGGGAACTGCCAAGAAGATAGGAGATAAGCTTATGTTTATGGAGTCTGGGTGAGTGTGTTCAATGAGAAGAGTCTGACCTTTACGCCTTGGCCTAGATATTTATAATCCTGACAGAGTGTGCAGGCTGAGGGAAGAGTAAATTTCCATTCCACTTGAGTGACCTAATTTAATCATTTCACATTCAAATGTTGCGTAGTTTCCTGGGTTGTATCATCAAAATTCTTGATCTTTTCCCTTTTTCTTTTCTTTTGACAAACAATTTGTCTTGTAGATATATTGTGTTAAATCCCTTTCATTTCTGCTTTTACAGGAAGGAGAAGCAGATGGAACATTAAAAGAAATCAAGAATAGTCTTGAGCCTACAAGAACAGACTCCATTGACATGTATGTGATGAAAGACTAGAACTGTCAGGCAGAAAGATGGGGCAGTCTTGTCCCTTTGAGTCTGTCACTGGAGGTCAAACATGATGGGCTGGAGAAGTAACTTTTTATTGATTTATAGTAGGACCTTTCATTAATATTCAGTTTGAATGCTATTTAATGTTGTAGCCCAAACTGGCGGAGAATAAAAACAATGTTTGGTGCCTTTTTTTAGGCTGACTAATGCAGACTACTCTGTTGTAGGTGTTTCATCTCCATCAGGTAAGAAGTGAAAAGAGTCCTGCCCTCCATCAAAAGAAGATATTGCTTCCCAAAGACCCATGTTTGCTAATTTGTTTACCAGTGCTGTGTGACTTGGACCAGGCTGCCCAGCTTCCATAAATGAGATGTATCACTTTCATCTCCCTGTTCATCCCTAGTTATAAGCCAGAGTGACCAGTGCTGGTGATCCTCTCTAACGATTATTGTTAGTGCTAGCAATCATTGTAGGAGTTTCTTGAAAGTGCCCAGGTGTCTTATCTGTGGAGTCTCAAGTTTACCTGAACCAAGTAGATACTGGGAAACAGACATCTTAAATAATGAAAGGGCAACAGGTTCTTGCTAAATTGAGGATGGCCTCAAACTTGCAATCCTCCTCAGCTTTCCAGGTAGCTGGGATTACAGCCACTGTGTCTAGCACTGCATAGATTGTTTTTGTTGTTGTTGTACTGGGAATTGAACCAAAGGTCTCACACATGCTAGGCAAGTACTGTACTACTGAGCTACATCCCCAGATTGCCTCATAGACTTTTAAAACCTTTTTTTCTATAACTTGATGAATGTACATAGAATAGATAATGACTTATAAAAGGTGAAAAAAATCCAATCACGTTTCCAAGCTTTTGTATCAGAGAGAAAATATTAGACAATATTCTTTCATCAAACATGGCTGTTGGCATAAGTGAATATTATTCTCTTTTTAGGTTAAAAATTCTTAAAACTTTTCCCCAAGTTGCTATTTTTAATATCAGAAGACTTTCCTGGAAGTATAAGGAAGGAAGAAAATTGTTTGACAATTTCAAGCCACTTCCTCCTCATTCATACCACATGCAAAGATCAGTTCTTCTTTTAAGCCACCGTGCTATTTAAAAAAAAATAACAACAACTCTATGTTATTTATGATAATCAGAAGGAGTTTGAGATTGATTTCTAGATTTAGAGTTTGAGCTTTGGAGTGCTACTAATGGAATTCAATTTCTTTATTAGATTTGTGAGCTCCAGTAGTTTACTGAAATAGTGCCTGCCATAGGCATCATCATAGTCCCTGAATGTTTTTAGAGTGGTAGCCATGGTTTTGTTTGTCATTAAAATGTCTCTATTCAATCATATTTTGAAGTCAAGAAAAATATTTGACAACATTGGCTATATTTGTCTTTGATTACTTGAAACAAAAAGAAAAAAAATGTTTTCTTGACTTGTAAAATTGACTTTCTCAAGTTGGAGAAAGGCCAGTGTAGTTTGTTTGGCTGAGTCCTCTTTGAGACTAGATCTCGGAAAGCGAGTTTTGGGGTCTTACTTACACAGTGACCATTCAGAAACAGCAAGTTATATTTTAAGGCTATCTTCTCTGGAGTCTCACTGTCAGTCTCTACACCTTCCCCAGAAAGTAAGTAGGAGCATAGCAATATGGGTCTTGGGACCATGCATCTGTCAGTAGATGAGAATTAATTGGAGAATGTTCTGGAAAACAATTTGTTTAAGCTGGTCTTAGTTATATTGGGCTACTCTAAGTGTTGGTTTTCATTTTTTTATTTAAAAAAAACCTTTTAACCTTTATACTGAATGTGGTGGTGGTATCAATATAGGAGCAAATCTGCCAAAGATGCCAAGAATTATTTGGAATTTGAAGAATTAACTGTGAGCCAGCTCCTACTTTGCCTAAGGGAAGGAAACCAGAAGGTGGAGAGACTTGAAATTGCTCTCAAAGAAGCCAAAGAAAGGTATGAGATAGCTTGACCTGAAATGTGTATACACTGTTTTTTAATAACTTTATTAAAATATAACTAAGATACCACACAGTTCTTCCATTTAAAATTTACATTTCAATATTTTCACAATATTGTGCAATATTCTGTATTAGGGTTGTGCAATCATTGCCACAATATAATTTTAGAATATTTTTTCCCTCATACCATACAAGAAATCCAAATCCCATTAGTGTGTCTATACTACCCATGCCTCCCAGTAATCTTCTTTCTGTCTCTATACATTTGCCAATTCTGGGCATTTCATATAAATGGAATCACAAAATATGTGATCTTTTATGACTCTTATGACTGGCTTCTTTGACTTATCATAGTGATTTTTTTTTCTAGTACTGGGGGTTGATTCAGAGCCTCACATGTCTCACATATGCTACTAGTGCACTATATCCCAGCCTCCAATTATTATTTATTTGTTTGTTTGTTTGTTTGTTTGTTTTTGGAGAAAGAGTCTTGCTAAATTGCCCAGACAGGATGATCCTCCTGCCTTGGCTCCTGAGTAGCTGGGATTACAGGTGTGCAATATCATGCCCAGTTAGCATAGTATTTTTAAGGTTCATATATATACAATGTACCATATATCAGTACTTAATTCCTTATTGTTGCTTGTTTTACTTAGCTTTTTCACCACTGTGAATAAAAGACCTGACAAGAACAATTTTAGAAGAGGAAAAGTTTATTTAGGGGTTCATGGTTTCAGAGGTCTCAGTCTACAGAAGGACAGCTCCATTCCTTGGGGCTCCAGATGAGGCATGGTGTAAGAGTATGGTGGAGATGAGGTTCATATGATGATCAGGAACCAGGGAGGGAGACTGCACTTGTCAGATACAAAATATATACCCCAAAGCAACACCTCAATGCCCACCTCCTCCAGCTATACCCTACCCACCTTCAGTTACCATTCAGTTGATCCCCCATCAGGGGATTAATTCTCTGATTGGGTTAAGGCCCTCATAACCCAATCATTTCTCCTCTTAACCTTCTTGCATTGTCTCACACATGAGCTTTTGGGGGATACCTCACATCCAAACCATAACACTGCTGAATAATATTCTACATTGGATATGTGACATTTTCCCATTTATCACTTGATGAACATTTGTTGATTGTGAATGCTTCTATGAACATACAGATATAAGTGTTTGCTTGGACATGTTTTTAATTCTCTGTGGTGTATACCTAGAGAATGGAATTACTAGTCTGTTTAATATTTGAGGAACTACCAAATCATTTTCCAAAGAGGCTCTACCATTGTGTATTACCACTGGCAGTATATGTGTATTCCACTTTCTTCACATCCATATCAACACTTGTCTACCATTTTTATTTTAGCCATCTTAGTAGATGTGAATTGGCATCTCATTGTAGTTTTGATTTCTAATTCCGTAGTGAGAATCTTTTCATGTTTAATTTTCTTAGGAGAAATAGCTATTCAAATAGACTAGTTATTTATTAAAAGTATGATTTGCAAATATTTTCTCTCATTCTGTAGGTTGTTTTTATCCTTCCCTTTCCCTTTCCATTTTTTTTTCCTTCATGTTACTGAGCTACTGAGGATTGAACTCAGCTCATGCTAGGCAAATATTCTACCACTATAGCACATTCTCAACCCTTCACTTTCTTGATGATATTATTTGCAGTGCAAGAAAAAAAATTATATTGATGTGATTTCTCTCTTTTAATTTTGTCATCTATTCTTTTAGTACGGTATCTCAGAAGTCATTGTCTAACCCAGTATCACAAAGCTTTACTCTGTGTTCTGAAGATTTTTATTGTTTTAACTTTACATTTAAGTCTGTGGTCCATTCTGAGTTCATTATTATGTATGGAGTGATTAGAAGGCTAATTTCATTATGCTCTTGGTTCTGTTTCGTTGATCTATATATTTGTCCTGTCCTTATGCAGGCATACAGTCTTGATTTTTTTTAGGGTTTACATTGCATCTATATATCAGTTTGGGTTGTGTTATCATTTAACAATATCCTGACTTATGAGCATGGGATGCTTTTCCATTTATTTGTATCTTCTTTAATGTCTTCCAATAATGTTTTGTATTTTTTTTTATTTTTTATTTTTTTAAATTTTTTTTAGAGAGAGAGAGAGAGAGAGAGAGAGAAAGAGAGAGAGAGAGAGAGAGAATTTTTTAATATTTATTTTTTAGTTTTCGGCTGACACAACATCTTTGTTTGTATGTGGTGCTGAGGATCGAACCCGGGCCACACGCATGCCAGGCGAGCGCGCTACCGCTTGAGCCACATCCCCAGCCCAATGTTTTGTATTTTTAATAGTTCAGGGATTTTTGGTTTGGGGTTTTGTTTGTTTTGGGGAAGTTGTTTGTTTTTGCAGTGCTGGTGATTGAATCTAGGGCCTTGCACATGCTAGGCAAGTCCTGTTTTGTACTTTTCAACACATCCTGCCTTTTTTTTTTTTTTTTTGCAAAATTTATTCCCAAATATTTTAGTCTTTTTGATGTTATTGTAAATGGAATAGTTTTCTTATTTTTTGGCTTTCTCATTGGCATTACATAGAAATACAACCAAACAATTTTTGTATGTGGATATTATGTCCAATAGCCTTACTAAAGTCATTTATTAAGTGCTAATTTTTTAGTGGAATCCTCAGGATTTTTTTTTATTACAGAATCAGACTGTATCATTAGCATATAGAGATAGTTTTGCTTCTTCCTTTCTAATCTGAATGCCTTTTATTTCTTTTTCTGCCTGACTGCCCTGGCTAGAACTTGTAATGTGGTATTAACTAGAAATGTAGCATCCTTGTCTTGTTCCTAACCTTCAGGGAAAAACTTTCAGTGTGTGTGTGTGTGTGTGTGTGTGTGTGTGTGTGTGTGTGTTGGTAGAAGAGAGTGGTACTGGGGATTGAACCCAGGGCCTGTTGCATGCTCAGCAAGTACTCAACTCCAAGCTTTCAATCTTCTACCATTAAATATAATGTTAGCTGTGGGTATTTCATAGATGCCTTTATCAGGTTGAGAAGTTCCTTTCTATTTCTAGTTTGTTGTAATTTTTATCATGAAAGGGGTTTGGATTTTTTCAAATGCTTTTTATGTGTATATGGAGTTGATCATATGGTTTTAGAAAAACCTTTATTAATATAGTATATCATATTAATTGATTTTCAGGTTAGACCAACTTTGTATTACCAGTTTGTCATGATATATAATCCTTTTTATATGTTGCTGGGTTCAGTTTGCTAGTATATTGTTGAGGACTTAAATATATAAGGGATAATAATTCATAGTTTTCTTGAGATATCTTTGTCTAGTTTTGGTCTCGGTTAATATTGACTTCATAGAATGAATTGAGAAATGGTACCTCCTCCTCTGGATACATACACTTTAAAAAATATCCAATGAATCTTTTTATATGGAAATAGCTATAACATAATGCTGTTGTAAACAAAATCATTTAGACTGGTTTCAGGGGTACATTTATGTGTCTTATGCATTTTTAAGTCAGTAATTTCTGTTTATAAATATACTTTTTAGAATACAAAGTACATAGTATAAGATGCAGGGAAGGTTATAAATAGTTTTAGGGTTCTTGTGACTGGAACATTTAATCATAATATACTATGGCATAATTAATTCTCTCAGACATTATCCGTTGCTTTTTTGTTTTGTTTTGTCTTTGTGGTACTGGGGATTGAACCCAGCGGTACTTTACCACTGGGCTCCATCCCCAGCCCTTTTTTAATTTTTTAATTTTGAGACAGGGTCTGGCTAAGTTGCCCTGTCTGGCCTCGAACTTTTGATCCCCCTTTCTCAGCCTCCTGAGTCTCTGGGATTATAGGAATACATCACCATGTCTGGCTTAATCTTATACTGCAGCACTTTAATACTTTCCAGAGCTGGGGATGTAGCTCAGTGGTAGAGCAGTTGCCTAGTATGTTGAGAGGCCCTAGGTTCAATCCTCTCTTAGGAAAAAAGAAAGTATTTTGCAGTTGAAGCAGTTTAGAATTTTAACTATAAGGAGATCTCTTCTTAAATGTTAAATATAAGTTTTTTTTTTCCAGAATGAAAAAAAAAATAACCTGAAAGACATGTCAGTATTTGTCCAGTGTCTTATTTGGTGATCAACTCTTTTCAAAGGTGAAAAGGGCATGGAGGCATCTAAGTTTTTACCCCACACACTACTATTCAGAAAAGTTCAGAGTTAATGTCTAGGAACCTACTACCTCCATTGTCTTCTAATGAGGAAATATAATCATCCTTTCTTTTCAGTAAATTCAAAAACATAGTAAGTAGTACAAATAAAAGCATTCTTTTTATTATTATAGTTGAGTTTTAAAAGAAGATGTTCTGTGAATGAGAACTTTAACAGCAATGGGTAGTCAGTATATTTGTATTTTAAAGGCATATTTTATTTTTCAAGTTCTATATACCATTCCAAAAAGTCAAGTTTAACACAATTCATCCTTAAACCAATATGATTGGCCTTATTAGTAGAAGTATAAACTTAGGAACTTGCTAGTTATAAATAATGATCTTTCATACGAAATTATATTACCTGCTTTCGAAAAAGTCATAGCTTTCTACCAGATGCCTAGAGGTATTTATTTCTTCAGATTGTAGGTAATGAGTCAGGCCTGCCTTTGAGATGAGGTCCTCATGCCTCACATGAGCACCCTGTAAAGATCTCTTTCTCAATAACTCTCAATTTCTGATTTGTAACCAGCTTTCTCTCAATATTTAACAACTAACAAGTCAGTAACTAGCTGCTGAGAATAATGTTCTCTATGTGGGCATAGGAGGATTTCCTCCTAGATAAGGTAGGTCTGAAACTAAGGAACAAAATCACTGACACATGAACAACCTGGCTTGATTTTCACACACTATACACAGATATGATAAAAACACATGTGCAATATATAACATGTCTTTTTCTGAAATAAGTCAGTTTTCAAGCATTTTCATTAATCATAGGAAACAGTTGTTCTAAATGTATATATAAAAGTTACTCTGAAAAATTTTTAGGTGATTTATGGGGAAAGTGAATAGTAGATTTGTCTACAGTTTTGCCAGGATTAATATTTCATGTAATATGTGTGTTTCTAAACATATTCTGATAGCCAGTAAGGAGCAGGAAATTCTATAAGAAATGTAGCCCTGGAAAATTAAGAGGTGGCAATGAAAAGTCAGCTCAAGGTAAAAAATTAAGAAAGTTGGGGCTGGGGTTATGGCACAGTGGTAGAGCGCTTGCCTAGTACATGTGAGGCACTGGGTTTGATCCTCAGCACTACATAAAAATAAATAAATAAAATAAAAGTTAAAAAATGCTTTAAAAAAATTAAGAGGGGCTGGGGTTGTGTGTGGCTTAGTGGTAGAGTACTCGCCTAGCACATGGGAGGTGCTGAGTTCAATCCTCAGCACCACATAAAAATAAATAAATAAAGGTAATGTGTCCAACCACTACAACTAAAATATAAATATATATATATATATATATATATATATATTTTTTTTTTTTTTTAATTAAGAAAGGTTGAGGCTGGGATATAGCTCAGTTGGTAGAGTGCTTGTCTCGCATGTACAAGGCCATGGTTCAATCTCCAGCACCACAAAAAAAAAAAAAATTGTAAATTTAATTATAAAAATTAAGTTGTAACTGAATTATAAGTCAAAAACCTGTGTCCTGTGTGAGTGGTGGTGTAAAGGTTAACCTCTTGCCCCCTATCATCTGGTACTTAACCCATTTATTGGGCTTAGCCAGAGACAGTTCCTGTACACCAATTAGGTTTGGCAAACTTTAACAGAATCCAGTGTTATTTTACTTTTTATCATCACTAAGTCCTTATTTACTTATTTATTTATTTTTTGGATCATCCATTTGGTTAATTTTTTTTTATGTTTTTTTATTTATTTTTTTTTAAATTTTTTATTGTTGGCTGTTCAAAACATTACATAGTTCTTGATATATCATATTTCACACTTTGATTCAAGTGGGTTATGAGCTCCCATTTTTACCCCATGTACAGATTGCAGAATCACATCAGTTACACATCCATTGATTTACATATTGCCATACTAGTGTCTGTTGTGTTCTGCTGCCTTTCCTATCCTCTACTGTCCCCCCTCCCCTCCCCTCCCCTCCCCTCTTCTCTCTCTGCCCCCTCTACTGACATTCATTTGTCCCCCTTGTATTATTTTTCCCTTTCCCCTCACTTCCTCTTGTATGTACTTTTGTATAACTCTGAGGGTCTCCTTCATTTCCATGCAATTTCCCTTCTCTCTCCCTATCCCTCCCACCTCTCATCCATGTTTAATGTTAATCTTCTTCTCATGACTAAGTCCTTATTTAAAAATCACTTTTACATTCATATAATAAATTGTTCTATAAGCTTCTTACAGAAAAATAACAGTTCTTTGACCAGCCATTCCAGATACTTTTTCCTTCTTCTCAAACACTTCCAACATATTTACTTGGTTTTATTGATATTTACCTTCATATATTAGGCTTAAATTGTTATTTAAATTTTTTAAAACATTTTGTACATAATCTATTAATCTCCCACTATGCATGTTGAAGATTTAACTCTCTTACACATCATCATCAACACCACACATATGTTTTTGGATCCCTCCATTTTGTCCTTTCCCTGCCTCTGAAATTGATTATATTGAAATTTATTTAGATGATTATTTAGCGCGCACACACAACACACAACACACACACACACACACACACACACACAATTCACAGGTGAGCTATATTCTATGCCATGACCCCTTTTCCTTTTGACAAAACGTTTTTTAACCTCTGTATATAATTCCTTTTTGGAAATTTGCTACTGATTGTGGTAGCACAAGCCTGTAATCCCATCTACTCAGGAGGGTGAGATAGGAGAATTACAAGTTCAAGGCCAGCCTTAGCAACTTAATGAGACTATCTCAAAATAAAATTTAAAAAAGGATTGAGGATGGAGCTCAGTAGTAGAGCACTTGCCTGGCATGCACAAGGCCCCAGGTTCAATCTCTAACACTGCTTTATTTTTTGCTTAAGTCTTAGTCCGTTTTCTGCTGCTGTAACAGAATACTATAGATGCTTACATCTTAAACAATGTAAGTTATATGGCTTCTGGTTCTGGAGACTGGGAAGTTCAAGATAGAGGGGCTGCTTCTGCTGAAGTTCTTCTTACTATGTCATAACATGGAAGAAGGCAAGCAAGCATGCACAATAGAAAAAGAGAGCTACTGTCATTGTTTTATTAGGTTCTCACTCCTGAGCTTGAAGCAGCTTTAATCCATGCATGACCATACTGTTATAATGCCAATGGCAATTAATCAACATAAGTTTCAGTTTCAGAGGGCGACATTCAAACCCTAGCACTGAGTTTCCCCATGTACTCTCTTCCAGTGAGGAAATCTCTTCATTACTTTACAAAACACTGATAGCATAGTAGTGTGCTTTTCTTGCAGAATCTTCTCCAAGAGTCTCACGTGGTCACTTCTGGGTCCTGCTGTATTGTAGTCATCTCAACATCTTTCTTTGGCATCATCCTGTGGAATTCCTTTGCTCTCCAGTGTTGGATCTCATTTCCTTAATCCAGTGTCTTTCTTACTCTTTTACTAAGTAGTGTACACTACATCTTCATACTGAGAATATGAGGCGTATGTTTTCTGAGGTCTACTTATCAAAAAAAATCTCTCTACCTTTATACTTAATGGATAGTTGGGTTAGATACAGAATTCTAGATTGGACATTATTTTTTTTCCAGTTTTTGAAAGCGTCACCTCATTGTATTCTAGCTTCACTGTTAAGAAATCTATTGCTACTCTGATACTTAATCTTTTTGTATGAAAACTTTTTGTTTTTCCTCTTCTCTGAAAGTTCTTTGCTTTGTCTCAAGTATTCTGAAATTTCACATGTGCTCTGGGTGTGAGCCTGTTTTTTAACCTTGCACCTTTTTCATTCTGCAAACTCATGACCTTAACTGAGCAACATCCCTGCCCTTTTAATTTCTTATTTTAAGACAGGGTCTTGCTAAATTGCTCAGGGCCTCACTAAGTTTCTGAGGCTGACCTTGAACTTATAATCCTCCTGCCTCAGTCTCCTGAGCTACTGACATTACAGATGTACCCTACTACTCCTGGCTGACCTTCATTTCTTGACAAATAATCTCAAGTTAAAAATTATTTCCTAGTCTCTTTTTCCTTTATTTGCCTTCCTAGAACCTACTATTGTTTTATTTTGAATTGGATCTCCTGGACCCATCATCTGATTTTCTTAACTTTTGCTCATCTTTGGCATCTCTTTCTCATTTTCCTTTTTCAGTTTTCATCTCTATTGTATTGGGGGAGTGCTCATGCGTGGGTGTACATGTGCACATGCTTCCTTGCTTTTAATGTTCCTTTCTCAATGACTGCAATATATTTCCTTATGTCTCTGGGGATAGCACTCCCACCTCCCACTGGCATATTTTACTTTCAGTAGAAAATATTTGTTTTATTTTAAGGTAATCTTGTCTGGAAATCTTGGCTGTTTGATGAGACTTAAGAGTAAGTAAGAGTTAGAAGTTACTTGAAGCGTTGTGAGCATCTGGAGGGAGATAAGCTGGGAGGTTCCTGGGGAAACCTCACGTCTGAAACTTAAAATCTTTTCCCTTGTCCTAGTCAGATTCTCCTGAGAAGATGCTTCTAACCTCCTGCCTGAAGGGCATTTTTCTAGATGCCAGTGTTCTTGAGATGAGTAGGTAAAGAAGGCTGAGGCCTTCAGCTGTATCTATGTAAATTGTTCCCTTTTAAATAGAAGGCCCAATCTCTCTGCTTAACTCTTTTGAGTCCAGAATCCTTTACTTTTTATCTTACAACATTTTTTAAACAGGTTCCACCTTTACCACATCCAGAGGTACCCACTAACCCCAGCCTTTTTGGAGTTTCCATAGTATAAATCATGTTACTTAATGGCGCTCCCTACTATTGGCTCAGGGTCACCTTCCTGGAATGCTGAGCCTGTCCCCACTCAGTCCTGTGCTTTCTAAATTTTGTTATTTGCTTTCACCTTCTCTTTGTTCCTATAGTCACATAGGTTTTTGAAAGTCATTTTCATAGCATTTGGGGTAGAAGAAGAATTATATGCACATACTCGACTTCCTATATTTAACCCATCTCCATTTTTTTCATTTATACTGGAATGGCTTTCCTACGATTATGACTCAGTGTAAAAATGTGCTGTGTCTGTCTGTTCAGGAACTTATAAATTCAGATAGATCCTAAAGGAAAAGTCTTTCCTTCTGTTAGTTTCTTATAAGTGGGACAAACACTCATGGAAGACACACACATATCTACATGTGTATACACACACAAGAAATTTTAAAAATATTTTTGGATAGTCCAGTCACATGAAAACAGGCAGTATTCAAAATGAGTTATTCTTGGGTTTCACTTCTACATATATTCATATCTTAAATCACATCAGTTCTAGCCAGTCTTAGAATGAAAAACAAAACTAATGCTAATACAGTGAATGTAGAGATTTTGAAAAACCCTGATTCTTTACCCAGATTTTGAAGTGTTCTTTGGAGTACTTCTGTAATTGCTACTCCTTTTGAGCCGAAAGTAACTTTTTAACATTCTGTAATTTTTCAGAATTTCAGATTTTGAAAAGAAAGCAAATGATTGTTCTGAAGTTGAGACCCAGACAGAGGGCAGCACAGAAAAAGAGAATGAAGAGGAGAAAGACACAGAGACTGTGGGTACTAAGATTCCAAGACTGCTGACACACCCAGTGGATAAAGAGTAATACAGTGACTGTGATGTGTATTAGCTTTAAAAAATGTAGAAATAATAGTAAAATTTTTTTTTATTTCTCTAATATTTCTTGTCCTAGTTTGAGCTTCACTCAGTGTTAATTATAGTGAGATATATTTCAATCAGTATTCTACAAAACCACTCCTATATCTCTTTTTGTCTCCTAAATCCTTATGTGAGAAAGCTCACTACATTAAAAAGGAACTTCATCTACTTTATAATGAGATTACTTGAGGATATAACTCAGAAAATTGTGGAATTCAAAGATCTTGGTTGTATGTCTCTAATGGTAGGAACAAAGTACTTGGAATAAGAAAGGTCCATGTATGTACATTCACTGTTGTGTGTAACTTAGAGATGTATCTTTCAGTCTGAAGAGTCTTAAATTTAGAAAGAGTTAATGAAACCATGAAGTTATGATAGCCACAGTAGTCCATGTGGTAGGTACTTATATAAAATAGCCATTTTAACTAATGGACTTATTTAACAAAATTTATATATCAAATGCCTACTGTTGGCCATGTATTCAAAAGAATCGAGACTATTTAGAAAACAGATGTAGCAACCACCAGTGTGTAACCGCACTCTGTTGACAAAAACTAATTCAACTATCAGTAACAGAAGTATCAAGACTTCCAAGATATTGTAAAACTCATTTATGAATTACAGGACTGTCAAGGAAAAGGCTGTATAATGAAAATGTTGTGCAAACTAGAAACATAAATTAGTTAGGAAATATGTAGATGAATTGATAAACAATAAATAGGGATGTGCTTTGATACTCTCTAATCTCTATGATCACTGAGCCATATGTAAGATTACTTTTTAGTAGTAAAAAATCATTATTAGAAGAGCATTCAAATTGATTAATGCTCTATTAGGAAGAAGAATTGTATCCAAAATATTTCTTTTCATGCAAGATATTTGGGGTAGTAATTGTGAAAACTTTATTCACCAGTCAGTCTTATTTCCATACCAGTGGTTCAGACTCTTTTCTCACAAAGAAGTTCATTTAATCTTGTGATAATCAAGTGTGAATGTTTGTTATTTCCTGTATGATAGGTTGGAAGCGAAGTGGAAATGTTGAACCTTCAGGTGACATCACTGTTTAAGGAGCTTCAAGAGGCTCATACAAAATTGAGTGAAGCCGAGCTGATGAAGAAGAGACTTCAAGAAAAGTAAGAGAAAGAGGCTGCTTTTATCCTCTTTGGAAAAATACACATTTTTATTAAGTATGTTACTATATAGAAATATAGTTCTATAATATTTACTGTATATTTACTATAATTTTATATATGCTACTATGTTAGTGAGTAAAAGAAAAACAGGACTATGTAAAATATGAATTCACTAATGTACAGATTAATGTATAAGCATGGAATTCTTGTTGTAATATGAAAGAATGGGGACTTTGATTCTAAGTACACTAGCCTATGTGGCACCTGTGCAAAGTAGCAAGCCAGATTGCCTGTACTGTGACAACACTGATGTGAACACACACAAAAGAAAGCTGAAAAGAGACTGAGTGAAGTTTAGGAAAAAGTCCATCTCAATTTGTTGTTTAATCAATCATTAAAGCTAGCATATAAATTGAGAATTTTACATTTGCTTATTTCTTTTGATCTAAGAAGTTACCCAAGACATAGCAAATATAACATGTTTGTGTTATTACCTTGGGCAAGTTATTTATTTAACCTCTCTGCACCTAAGTTTTGTCATGTGTAAATTATGTGTCATAATTTCTCTAATGTACGCCAAGTTAAATAAGATATTTAATTTGCTTGGCTTTAATGCTTTGCACATAGCTGTCATTGATTTGTTTTTGCTATTATTATATTGAAATTCTCTTTTTAAAATTTTTTTAGTTGTTGATGGACCTTTATCTTATTCATTTATTTATACATGGTGCTGAGAATTGAACCCAGTGCCTCACATATGCAAGGCAAGTGTTCTACCATTGAGCCACAACCCCAGATCGAAATTCTCTTTTTGATATTTAAGAGAACCTGTGGGGGCTTCCTTTTTCCTTTGTTGAGTCTTTATTAGAAATCCAAGTTTTGGTGATTGACAGAACTTTTTCAAATATAAAAGTACCCATGGATCACTACATGAGAATAATTGCTAGCCAACTTCTACTTTGGTCTGTATTTAGCTAAGAAAAATATATTTATATGACTACATACACCAATTATTCAAAGATGACACTACCTCATGTCACTTTAGATCTGTACTTATTTATTTTTAGACATAAAAGTTCAGAAATATGGACATGTCTAGTAAAGAAGCAGAATGGATAAATATTTTACTTTACATTCATAAATCCTACAGACCTTAAACTTCTTTGAATTTAACCTGTTTTTTGGATATGTTGAAAAGCCACTGAGAAGTGAAATTGCATTGTTTATCTTCATCTTTCTTAGATGCCAGGCCCTTGAAAGGAAAAATTCTGCAACCCCAGCAGAGCTGAATGAAAAGCAAGAGCTCGTTTATAATAACAAGAAGCTAGAGCTGCAAGTGGAAAGCATGCGATCAGAAATCAAAATGGAGCAAGCTAAAACAGAGGATGGAAAGTGAGTACACTGTGCAGAATGGGAGCTTGCCCAAAAGAATACCTTTTTAAAATACAGATTGGAATTAAGAATAGAGAGTAAATTCACAAAATTTGTTTTTTATTTATCTGAAAGAGTACTATGAGATTCTTTGGAGGGATAAAATTTTAAAGGTTTATTATAACAAAATTATTCTTTGTATTTAGCTTTCCCCCCCCCCAGACACTATTGTTTTGAGAGTAAGAAAATGCTAGTAAATGGTGGAATGATAAAGATAAGAGGAGATTTTGCTACTTGAGTGTTCAGAAGATGATTCAGAGGCAAGGCTTTGAGTTTGTGATATCCTCCTACAAGATTCTGTTTATTAATATCTTTTTTAATAGGTCCAAGTTAGCCATTCTACAGTCAACCCACAACAAGCTTCTTCAAGAACATAATAATGCATTGAAAACAATTGAGGAACTAATAAGGAAAGAGGTACTCATAGAAAAAATAGATTACTGATTAATGGAAACTGTTGAACATTTTATATCTAAAAAAAGGTTACCTGAATCCTTGACTAAGTCCCATTTCAAAAGTTGCTTTTCAGTTTATAATTGGTTTCTTGTGACATAATATTTACAACTTCTCACATATGTTCAATGCGCTTTGTGTTACAAAGGTGGTGTTCATGTCCCACTATCAGAGAGTAAGCATTTAGTATTTCTCAGAGTAGGTAGAGAGAGCTGTAGGAGAGCTAAGAGCATGGTCTCCTATGTGCACAGTGTACAGTAAGAAAGCTGGCTAGGGCTGGAGGGGCCATTCACATGTACAAGGCTAGTTTGCCTGCTGGCAGTGAACTTGGAACACTGGACTCACTGGTTTGCAATTTAAATTGATAATAATGCCCAGCATGGTGTGATCATTTATAGACAATGGAAATTTTGAATTAGAAAGTCTTTGAATTTATATTTTTATAAATATACTCTTTTTTAGAGGGCGTTGTTTTTTTAATTGCTTTTATTTTTTAAATACATGACAGCGGAATGCATCACAATTTTTATTACACATATAGAACACAAGTTTTCATATCTCTGTTTGAATATAAAGTATGTTCATACCAATTCATGTCTTCATACATGTACTTTGGATAATGATGTCCATCACATTCCTCCATCATTGCTAACCCCCTGCCCCCTCCTTTCTCCTCCCACCCCAATGCCCTATCTAGAGTTCGTCAATTCTGGAGGGGCTTATTATGTCTCTATTTCAGTATTATCTTTTAAAAATACTGTTGTTTTAAATCAGGAAACTGGGCTGGGGCTGTAGCTCAGTGGTAGCACTGCCCTGTCCACTCAGTGGTACAGCACTTGCCTGGCATGTGTGAGGCACTGGGTTCCGTTATCAGCACCACATAAAAATAAATATGTTAATAAATATATTGTGTCCATTTACATGTAAAAAACATTTTAAATAAATAAATAAATCAGGAAACTATGATTTGCAAGCCATATGTTAAATGAATCCGATTTTCTGAGTAAGTTGGTATTGCTAATGAACAGACTAATTTAAAGCTAATGATTTTATTTATTTTATTTTTTATTCTTTATGTATTTATTTGGTACTAGAGATTGAATCCAGAGGCACTTTATCACTAAGCAACATCCCCAGATCCTTTTATTTTTTTCTTTTGAGACAGGGCCTCCCTAAATTGCTTAGGCTGGGCTCAAACTTGTTATCTTCCTGCCACAGCCTCCCAAGTAACTGGGATTATTAGTGTAAGTCACTATGCCCAACAAAGCTAATAATTAAAAAAAAAAAAAACTAAAGGTTTATCTAACATTTCACTAACATAGACTACATTTCTAGAATCAAATTGTCTTTTGTAGTCAGAAAAAGTGGACAGGGCAGTGCTGCAGGAACTAAATGCAAAACTGGAAATGGCAGAGAGGGCACTGGCTTCCAAGCAGCTTCAAATGGATGAAATGAAACAGACCATTGCCAAGCAGGAGGAGGATCTGGAAACCATGGGTGTCCTTAGGACTCAGGTAAGAAATGCTGTGGAACCTCAACTGAGTGGGATAAGCCCCAAATAGATTTGCAAACGCAAAAGTGATGGTGTTTAATACACACACACATTATTTTATATTCCTTCCACCAGTGAAATATTTAAAACTTTTAAATTGATAAAAAGTGTGCCAATGTCATGTGTGTATGTGTGTGTGTGTGTGTCTGTGTGTGTGTGATGCTAGGGATTAAACCCAGGGTCTCATGCATGCTAGGCAAATGTTTACCACTGAGTTACACCCCCAGTCTGCCGAGTGCACAGCTCAAATGAATTTTATTCATCTGTGTTCCAAAACTGATAGGAAAATGGGTTATTTTCATTTGCAGCATTATAATTAATGCTACTGTGACATTCCTGTAGATATCTTTGTTCTCATGGCACTCATTTTCTGTTGAGGACACACCTGAGAGTGGAATTGCTAGTTCACAGGCTATGCATGTTACTCAGTGTAGAAAGTAAACAGTTTTCCAAAGTGGTTGTACCACTTTGGAAATGTTCACTCCCATCCACAGAGTTTCCATTGCTCTACGGTCCTATCTATGCCTTTATTATCAGTCAATTTTACTTTTATTGTTTTGGGAGTATGTAATGGTATCACATTTATTTGGTGTTTCATTGATGACTAATGAGTTTGAGTACTCTCTCAAATGTTTGTTGGTCTTCTAGGTATTCTTTTTTGTGATGTGCTTGATAAAACTTTGCTCATTTTTTCTTTAGGTCTGTCTGGCTTTTTCTTGATTTTATCAGTTCCATATATAGTCTGATATAAACCCTTATCATTGTTTTTGCCTTTTCACTCTCATAAAAGAGTCTTTTTTAAAAAATATTTTTAGTTGTAGAGGCACACAATACCTTTATTTTATATATTTATTTTTAGGTGGTACTGAGGATCAAACCCAGTGCCTCACATGTGCTTGGCAAGCACTCTACCACTGAGCCACAGTCCCAGCCCTCAAAAAGGAGTCTTTTGATGAGAAAGGTTCTTAACTTTATACTAGTCCAAGATACCAGTCTTTCCATTTATAATTAGTACCTTTTTTGTGTCCTGTTTAAAAAACTTTCACTACTCCAAGGCCAAGAAGATACTCTTTTTTGTTGTATTCTAAATACTTTTCCGTTTTATTTTTTATATTAAGATCTATGAACTATCAGAAATTGGCTTTTGTATACAGAGTGAGATAAGAATTTGGATTTATATTTTTTTCCTATGTGTCCAAGTGTCTTGGTTCCATTTAGTAAAAAGCCATCTTAAGTGCTCTGCTTGCTCCTTCTTCTTGTGAAGAGTATGAATACCAACAGATGGAGATCATTGGAGCCATCTCAGGGGCAGAGAAGTAGTTTGCAAAAATGGACTTTTGTCTAGGTTCATATACTGATATGGCCAATTTTTCCAAAGATTAAGAGCTATTAAACTAGTTTATAAAATAAGGATAGCAATTCTACAATCCCAGGACTTTTTAAAAAATATTTTATTAGTTGTTGATGGACCTTTATTTTATTTATTTATATGCGGTGCTGAGAATCAAACCCAATGCCTCACACATGCTAGGTAATTGCTCTACTACTGAGCCACAACCCCAGTCCCAATCCCAGGACTTTTGATATGGGAAATGAACATCCTCACGGGGACTTCACATGTGTCTGGAATTCAATAAATAGCATCTTTCTATATTTTAAATTTAGCTTAAGAGCAGCATTCTTAAGTTTATCTAGAAAAGTGAATAAGCCACTTACTATATTGTATTAGTTCTGAATACCTTTTTAAAAAAAGAAACGGGAGTATTTTACTGAATTAACGTTGCATATATTGCCAAAACCACCTATATCAGTGCAGTTTCAGGGTCCTAACTGTTTAAGCACACATGAACACACAGTTCATATCTATTATTTGAAAGCAGCTGGAAAGTTTCTAGCAGGAGTATGTACCTATCATTCACAAGGCCTACCTAAGGATGCAGTACTCTCAACCTTATAAACAGGTGATCTGCAGGGAATCCACATTCATCTCAGTAGAAACTTCTTTACTTTTTTTCCTCTAACAGATGGAGGTTTATTGTTCTGATTTTCATGCTGAAAGAGCAGCGAGAGAGAAGATTCATGAAGAAAAGGAGCAACTGGCATTGCAGCTGGCAATTTTGCTAAAAGAGAACGATGCTTTTGAAGATGGAGGCAGGTAAGGTAAAGCAAGAGGAAGGCAGAACATATGACGGCATGGGCTGTAGGAGAGGTAACCTGTCAAAGATGTTTCCTAATTTGAGCTATTAGAATCACTCTACCTACACTTGTGTTCCTACATTTGAGATTGGCTTATTAACAAAGCTGGACAGAGACTTGTTGGAACCCAGTCAAGTTCTTGGCTTTGAGAAAAGCTGTGAAAATATGTTTTATGTGTCCAAATGTTACCCTGCTAGTCGTGAGTGAAATATACTATACACTTTAAATTTCTAATGTGCTTTGAAAAAAAATACTTCCAAAATTTCTCTTGATTTTTAAAATTTCATCTTGGGAAAGTTTTAAATTCTAGAAAAATACAGAGGAAAAAAATAATACACAGCAAAATATACACAATTCTGAATTGACAGTTGCTAGTATATCTTTTTTTTTTTTGCTTCAAAAAATTTTTTTTTTTATGAAAGGGAGCTTTAGATAAAGTTGAAGTCTCTTGTTCCACATCCTTCATTTATTCTCCTCTTCCTTTGCTTTGAACAATCAGAGTTTAGTGGGTAGCCTTCCCATCTGTATTATACATGTGTGTATACACACACCCCAATTTTAAAACAATATTATTTCTCTTTAAATTACAAAATAATCAGTGTAGAGATTATTCTGTAACTTTATGTAACATTGTGATTTCAAATGCTGTCTATTTTGATTCATGCTGATTTAATTCATTGTTTTAATACCTGTGTAGTGTCTTAGTGTAGAAATATGTAACTTATTTTCTAATCCATTCTAGTATCAATTAATAGTTTGGTTATTTCCTAGTTGATTTTTAAAGATCTTACTTTTACCTCACAGTATGCTGGTGCCAATATTATATAAAAATCAATTTAAGGGGCTGGGGTTGTGGCTCAGTGACAGAGCACTCACCTAGCATGTGTGAGGCACTGGGTTCAAGCCTCAGCACCATGTAAAAATAAATAAAATTCATTCAGGTCCTAATGAAATTCTTTTAAAAAATCAATTTAATCTCACATTCTGATTTTTATGAACCTTGACACTGCAGTTTGACTCTTTTTTTTCCCCATACTTTTGTTGACTGCTTAATGTTGTCATGGTTCAGAGTTGCAGAACATCACATATAGTGTTGTTTTTAATCCCAGTAGGCAATCCTTGATGGAAATGCAGAGCCGGCATGGGGCAAGAACAAGTGACCCAGACCAGCAGGCTTACCTTATCCAAAGAGGTGAGTCACATTCAAGTCTAGGATATTCAGGGAATATCCTACTAATAAGGCACTCAAAGAAAAAAAAATCCCACTATATTCTATAAAAGGGATTTCAAATTAAGCTACCCAAAATACAGCACCCTTCAGTCTTATTCCCCTAGTACTCAGATCTCTATCCATTACTAATTCCAGACCTGACTCTTCACCCCATGCTGTAGTCTACAGATATTAGGTCATCTGCATCATCCCCTTCAACTCATCTTAAGCCTCTACTTGCATATATTTATTTGTGCAGTATCCTTCATGTAGGTGTCCTTTCCATATGCATATTCCTGTATTCTTATATTCTCCTTCCAATTAATTCTTATCCCATCTTTTAAACCCATTTCAGAAAGGTACACTCCTATAATCCCAGTAATTTGGGAGGTTAAGGCAGGAGCATCACAAATTCAAGGCCACCTGGGCAACTTAGCAAGACCTCTTTTCAAAATAAAAAAATAAAAAGGAATGGGATATAACTCAGTGGTAGAGCACCCCTGGGTTCAATCCCCAGTACGGCCAAAAATTTTTTTTTCATATTTTCCCGTCTCCAAATTGTTACCTTTCTGAACTTCCAAAATACTTCATTCTTTTGCTATCTTTTAAGTATTTATATGTTGAAATATGTATTTTAGACCTCTGTTAAATGATGAGCTCCCAGGACAGTACATTTTCTTGTTTTAGTACTGGAGATTGGACCCAGCAGTGCTCTACCACTAAGCTACATTCCCATCCCATCCCTTTTTATTTTTTATTTTGAGAAAGGCACTTGCTAAGTTCCCAGGTTGGTCTTGAACTTGTGATCCTTCTGCCTCAGCTCCCAAGTCACTACTATTGCAGGTATGCACCAACACACCTGGCTTCTGGATGAAATATTTTCACCCAATATCTGGTGTTTTGCACATAATAATGTTAGCATTTTTTTTTTTTTTTTGAGAGTTTACTATGTTCAGGCACTTTGCTGATCTAACTTCATCTGTATTATTTGATTTGATTCTCAAAAAATTCCATGAGGTCTATATTATCATTTTCTTATAAAAGACAAAACTAAAATTTTGACAAGGTTAAGTAACCCAGGATTATAAGGCTAGTTGGGAGCAGAATTGGAAGAGGAACCAAAGGTTATCTGACTTTGACTACTACATAGTATACTGAGTACAACAGATATCATTTAATTTGGAAATACATCCAATTTTTAATTTCCTAAGTAAAACTGATCATGATACATCTTAAAAGAGTGGTGCTCTTTTAATGATTTTATACTGGTACTAATACACTAGTACACTAATAATATGCTAGTAATAATGTTCTGTAATTTGTAATGAATCACTGAAAGGAAAATATTATTCTTGATTCTAGGTATTAAAAAATAAAATTCCAAGATCAAAGACTAACATAGCTAGAAAAAATAAACTAATGGCAGTGCCATCAAGTAGAGTCTGAGTTCAGGATCCCTCTTAAATATCACAAAAAAACTTTCCTTAACTTTTTTGTTTGTAAATATTTTACCAGTTTAAGTCTCCTTCACATACCAACTGACTATTAAAATGGAACTGCAATATTATCATCAGTAAGGACACAATATTAATACATATAATGAACTGATAAATCTCAGGGAAATTTCTCTGAGTATCTTTTTTTATTTCCTATCTCTCCCCTTCCCCCACCGGCCAAAATCCTATTACAGGAACAACAACAAAAAGATTAAACATTAGAGGTAGCAATTCAGGTTAAAAATATGCATAGGATTATTCATGGGGGAAAATGCAGAAAAGCTATCATTTGATCTAACAAAAATATTACCCTAGGTCTGGGGTTGTGGCTCAGCGGTAGAGCACTCACCTAGCATGTGCAAGGCCCTGGGTTCGATCCTTATCACCACATAAAAGTAAATAAAATAAAGGTATTGTGTCCAACTACAACTAAAGAATAAATATTTTTTAAAAAATATTACCCTGAGGCATTTTTTAGCATCAGTGGGTAAAGCTATGTTTTTCTCAGAAACCTACAGCTTCCTACTCCTTTGATTTCTTTCCACTCATCTGATTTCTCTCCCTCCTTCCCTCCTTCCTTTCTTTTTTCTTTTCTTTCCCCAATCCCCCCATCAGTACTGGAAATTGAATCTGTCACTACCATGCCTGTCTATATGTGTCTGATTCAAGAAATGTCCAACAAGGTAGTCTTGGGTCAAATTATTGCTGACTCCTGTCCCAAAAGCTGTGATTCTGCCCATCAGAATGAACGGGGTTTTTAAAGAGGTGATTCAGAGAAAATGAGATTAAGAAGATCAGGAAGGAGAAGATTAGGGAAAAGAAGATCAGGAAGGAGAAGACCAGGGAGAAAAAGGTTGGGGGAAAAAAAAAAACTTGTAAGATTCAAAGCCACAAGGGATATTAGTCAAAGCATCAAGTGAACCCCTTACAAAAAGGTCAGTCTCTTGCACGTGGATGTCTTAAGGAATGGTTGTGTTCTTTATAAGTCAAAAACCTACTTACATAAAAAAGACTGGTCAGTTTCTGACTTACATTTATAATCTAAAAGTCTTTTTCTATGTATACATTTATTCTTGTCTAAATAAGCTGTTTTGTCATAAAAAATATTCCAGAGGACTGTCTTAAGATTTTGTTAGTGTCTTAACAAAACTGATTTAAACAAGTCTCTCTTGATAAATCTCATCATTGTCATCAGCAGCAGCCATTTCAGTGTCTGCTCTGTTCTAGGACTTGGTTAAGTGACAGGGAATAGAAAGGCATAAGGTGTGGTCAAGTCCTTAAGGGCTGTGGTATAACTGGAGACAGAATGTGCACATAAAAACATAAATTCATGTACAAGATAGCATGTAGGTAAATAAAAGGAATGGTGGTGAAGATAACAGAAAAAGCTGATCATAAAGGCACAGAGAACTGAGAAAAGCCTTGAAAAAAACATGACTCTAACCTTGACCTTGAAGCTAGGATTTGGATAAGTGTAATGTGAGAGTAAAAGGCAAAGATGGAAATGAGTATGATCAGTTGATAATAAAAACTGACTAAACTTTTTATGGATTGAAGAGGCAGAAGGCAGAGGGAACCTTGAGCAGGCTGCTATCGCACACACACAAAAAGCACACATGGAGGCAACAGTGTTTAAAATGCAGAACCAACAATGCCAATGGCAAACTACAATCCACAGGCCAAATCTGGCCTGTCTTCTGTTTTTACAAATCAATTTAATTGGGATGTAGTCATGCCCTTTTGTTTGCATCCTGTCTTTGGCTGCTTTCATGCTACAGTGGCAGAGATTTTATTTATGATTTGCAAGGCCTATATAATATTTTCTCTTTGGTCCTTTACAGAAGTTTGTTGACTCTTAATCTCAAGCAATGGGACAATTAGAAAGCCCTGCTTCAAAAATCATGCTTTATGAGGAATATAGATAGTAAAATATGCTTCTTGGGCCAGGGATGTAGTTCACTAGTAAAGCACTTGCCCAGTTTGCAAAGACCCTGGATCTGGGTCTTAGCACTGAAAAAATTTAAAGAAAATAGAAAGTTTCTTAAATTTCTTTTTTTGTCTGAAAGTCTTACATGTTATTGAATTCAGTAATGTATTTTGAAGCAAATAACAATGGTAAAGATCCAAAAACAAAGTTTTGGGGCTGAACCAAAGTATGGGCCGAGACTCTAAAAACACAAAATACTTTGCACTGGTCCAGAAAGGTCAGGCCAGAGAGATGCCCAGGAGACAGAAGTAAATTTCAGCAATGATCACAGTTTGTATTGATCTAGGACATACCCAGAGTAAGAGCTTGTTTCAAACATTCTCTGATTTAGGTTTCAACCTCAACCTAACTCAGAACTGGGGGCAATTGCAGGATGCATTCTTCAGCTGTTTCTCTTCACTGACTTTCCTTGGGCAATTCCTATTCTTTCTAAGGCTCCTCTCATAGGTTACTCATCCAGGAGGCCTTTCTGCATTGGGGCTCTTTTCTTACTCCTACCCAAGCCCACAGTGTCTAACACTCCCCCACTTCCACATCACCACTGCCCCTTCTCTTACCTGGCTTCCCCACCTTGTCAGTATCCTGGCACACAGCAGTCTCTTGCACATCCATGAGGGCTTACAAGTGTCTGCTGAATAAATGGGAGTGAGTGTTTTGCTTCTGAAAAGGTATATACTGTTGCAGGAGACCCCTCCATACTCACTTTATTCCTTCCTTCATATTCTCTCCCTCTTTTGCTTCTATCCAGAACCTATATTGTCCTGTACCTAGAACTGAAACTGTCTTTTCAGACTCACACCTAGAATATAGTTTAAATCCTGAAATAATAGAAAAGCAGCAGGTACTATTTGTGGAGATTTCTCTGTGCACACAGTGATGTCTTCCATTAAAGAGTGTGGTGATGTACACCTGTAATCCTAGCTACTTTGGAGGCTGAGGCAGGAGGATCCTAAGTTCAAGGCCAGCCTCAGCAACTTAGCCAGACCCTCAGCAACTCAGCAAGACCCTGTCTTGAATTAAAAAAATAAAAAGGATTGGGAATGGTATCCCACTGGGTATTGATTATGAAGTTTAACAGATGACCAAATTAAAACCATGTTATTAAAATCAAGCAGAAGTTCTTTTCAAGGTGGAACTAATGAAACATTTAATTTCCTGCTTATTCCCAGGAGCTGAGGATAGGAACTGGCGGCAACAGCAACCACAGAGTATTCCAATTCATTCCTGTCCCAAGTGTGGAGAAGTTCTGCCTGACATAGATACATTACAGATTCATGTGATGGACTGCATCATTTAAGTGTTGATGTTTCACCTTCCCCCAAACTGTTGGTAAATGTCAGCTTTTTCCTCCAAGACTTGTACTTTTGTCTTATTTTTTTCACTCAAATATTTTGCCTCATTATGCTTGTTTTAGGAGGAAAAAAAAGATGTATCAATTCTAAGAGAACACTTTGTGGATTTCCATGAGCTCACAAAATGGAATCCTTAACCACTGCCCTTCTGATAATAAATTCAGTAGTTTTTATGTTCTGTTTATGTGGGCAAATACACAGTTAAATAGCAAGGGATGTAAAGTGACAGGGCTCAGGGAATTACAAGAAACTTCACTGATAAATTTGAGAATCTTTTAAGGAGGCAGGAAAAATGAATTGGTCACAGATTTAATCAGGAAAAAAATGTCTTTTAAATAGTTTTAAAGCAAATTATTGTTATTATGTATCTATTGAAACTGGATCTTTTGGGTTTATGTGTTTTTGTATATGTTGTAGTTTTATTGTAGCCATAGTAATTGTACCAAAGTTGTGACATACCGCTTTTCATCTAGTATGGTGAGCTTTCAGTTAATATTAGGACAAGTCAAAAAATGTTGGCATACATGACATGAAGTTCCTTGGATTTCTCTTTTTTTCTCTCTCCATATATGTTAGAGAGGGAAACTAGGGATGGAACTCAGGGTCACTCTAGCACTAAGCTACATCATGCCCCACCTCCCCCAACCCCACTTTTTTTTTTTTTTTTTGAGATGGTCTTGCTAAGTTTCAGAGTCTAGCCTGGAATTTGCCATCCTCTTGCCTCAGCCTCCTGAGTCACTGGGATTAAGTTCACTAGATTTCTTATCATTCACAGTGTTAAGTTTCATAATCACAAGAACTGGTTATTACAAAATAAAATTTTGTTTATGAATCTTTTACATTGTTCATATATGATTGATTTCATAGTATGAATTTTCTGTATTAAGCTCATTTAGCTTAATATAAGCTTACTTTGTAAGATATATTTTATCAATTTGATGAAGTTGAACAAGATCCTTTAGTTGAGACCAACACACGTTTGAATTAGAAAGTTGTTCTTACTAAGAAGGTGAACAGATAGGGATTTGCCTTATTTTAGACCTGTAGTTTACTAACTAGTATTGGACAAGCCATAGAAGTTAACAATATCTTTATATATCCAGTTCCTAAAACATTTAAGAGAAAATAAAAGATCTCCTTTGTATTTACGATAAGATCTCTCCTAGACAAACTTGATTACACACATATGTACATGCATGTATGCATTTATGTGTATTTAAATATGAATCAAAATAGTTAATTCATGCCAAAAGAACATATTATTCAAATTACAGTTATCTTCATGCCAAGAGAATACACTGTACACCTTATTAATCTAGATTAAAAGATTATCATACATACATCCCAGGGAGAATGTTTGTAAAAGACATTTCTAAAATTATAATGAAATTTTTTCTTTACTTGTTTATAGTTTCTAATATAAATGTTTTTATCCTTTTATATTGGATAAAATAGATTTCAATAGTATCCTATATAGAGAAGAAAACAAAATGGTTTCATGTTTAAGTTATTGTGGATATTCTTTTACTTTGTTCAAATATAGATATCCAGGAAATCTAAAGTCTAAAATAACGATATGAATGAGCTTATTAAGCTTGTGACCAAATCATTTGCTTGATAACTAAAAGTATGACAAATGAAGGCAAGTTCTTATGGTTGCTTTAAATTAAGGTCATTGAAGAGTTATCTGTATCCTGTGTTCATTACAGCATTATTCATAGTAGCTAAGACACTGAAGCACCCTAGGTGTCCGTCATTAGATGAATGAATAAAGAAAATGTGGTGTATATACACAATGAAAATACTATTCAGCCTTTAAAAAGAGGGAAGACCTGTCATTTGCAGTAACATGGATGAACCTGAAGGACATCATGTTTAATTGAAATAAGCCAGACACAGAAAGACAAATACCATATAGTATTACTTATATGTGAAATCTATAAAGTTGAACTCTTGGAAGTTGAGAATAGAATGGTGGTTACCAATGGATGGGGAAGGGGTTAGATAGGGAAAATGGAGATGCTGATCACAGGGGACAAAATTCCAATTATGAGGAGTAAGCTTTAGTGATATTTGGCACAAATAGTGACTGTAATAAATAATGTGTTATATATTAAAAAAAAAAAAAACATTAAGGCTGTTTTAAGGGAATCAACCAGTTCAGTAAACAACGTGTAAGCTCTGTATATGTCTTATCTAATTTATTTATTCTGATATATCTTCAAACGCTTTGTTCCATAATAACAGTTAATGACTCCTCATAGAAATCTTGTGTGTGGGGGGGATGAAAACACAAAGAATGGTGTCTACCCTTAACAGATTTATAAGTATTGTTAACTGTAGGTACATAACTGTCAGAATATCTCTAGAACTTTTTATCTTGCATGACTAATACTCTGTACCTATAAATAATTTGCATTTTCCCCGTCTCAGCCTCTGGCAACCACCATTATACCTTCTGTGTCTATGATTTTGATTATTTTAAATACTTTACATAAGTGTATCATGCAGTATTTGTTGTTCTGTGACTGGCTTATTTCACTTAGCAATGTCCTCAAGGTTCATCCATGTTGTTATATATGGCAGGATTTCCTTCTTAAGGTTGCGTAATATTCCTTTGTATATGTATATCACATTTTCGTTATCTATTTATCTACTGATGGACATTCAGGTGTTTTACCTCTCAGCTACTATAAGTGATGCTACATGAATATGGGAGTACAACTCTCTCTTTGAGAGCCTGTTTTCAGTTCTTTCAGATAACTACCTATCATATGATAGGTCTGTTTTAATTTTCTGAGGAAACTCCTTATTGTACTATTTTACATTCTTACCATAGTAAGAACAGAGTTCTGGTTTCTCCACATCCTTGTCAACACTTGCTATTTTCTGTTTTTCTGATAATGACCACACTAATAGGTGAGGTGATATCTCATTATGATTTTGGTATGTTTTTCCTTGATAATCAGTCATGTTAATGTCTTCTCATATACTGGTTGGTCATTTGTACATCTTCTTTTTTAAAAAAAATGTTATATTTTTCTGTGGTGCTAGTGCCTCATATGTGCTAGGTAAGCACCCTACCACTGAGCCACAACCTCAGCCCCTATATGTCTTCTTTGAAAAAATGCCTATTCTAGTCCTTTGTATAGTTTTAAATTTTTCCCCCTCTTGAGTTACAGGTATTCCTTATTTATTTTGGCTATTAACCCCTTATTAAATACTTTCAGACCATAATATTTTGTTTATATATGGTTTGCAAGTATTTTTACCCATGCTGTAGGTTGCCCTTTCAACTCTGTTGATTGTTTCTTTTGCTAGACAGAGGGGTTTTGGGTTCAATGTAGTTCCATTTGTCTATTTTCATCTTTGTGGTTTGTGTTTTTGGTGTCATATGTAAAAAATCAGTGCCAAGACCAATTTCATGTCTTTACCTTTTGCTGTCTTTATTCTTGTTTCTTCTGTTTTTTTGCAGCAACATACTTTAAATTCCTTTCTTATTATCTTTTTTTAAAAATATCTTTATTTTGTTTATTTATTTTTATGTGGTGAGGAGGATTGAACCCAATGCCTCACATGTTTGAGGCAAGTGCTCTGCCACTGAGCCACAACTCCAGCCCCTTATTTTCTTTTTTGATGAACTCTCAGCTTTTGTTTATCTGTGAAAGTATCTCTTTCGTTTCTGAAGGATAGTTTTGCTGGATATATTATCTCTGTTTGGCAGTTTTTCTCTTCCAGCAGTTTGAATATATTATCCTAGTCCTTTCTGGCCTGCACGTTTTTCTGTTACAAATTGCTTACAGCCTTATGGAGACTTCCTTGAATGTGATGAGTCTCTTTCAAAATTCTTTCTTTAATGTTGGACACACATTCTACTCTTCTCATTCTCCCTGAGGGAGAGGCTACCAAAACGCCTCTGTATGCTACACTACAATTCTCTAGAGCAGCAGCAAGCCTCCCAACTCTCTGGGACCCAGATGTCTACAGTATGCTGGGTCCCACTAGCACCCTAAGATAAGTAAAATGGAAACTCTTCTCTTGGGAATTCCCCCCACAAAGATGGAACAATGGACATGTGCTTCACTCTTCTCTTCTCTACCCAAGGGAGGGCCTACCAAGATGTATTGGCCTGTGTCTGCTGTGATATAGATCCTCTACAGCAGCAGCAAGCTACTCAACTCTCATTCTTAGAACCCCACTCCACCCCCACCCTCATCCCCACCCCCATCTGTAGTATACAAGTTCCTGTCCAGCACTCTGACCAGGCAAGACAAAAACCAGTCTCTTGGGTAGCTCTAACTAAAAACTGAATGCATGCTCCACTTTTTTTCCCTCCTCAGGGAGAGAAGCTGAGAGCTAAGGGTTTTCACCTACTTGTCCTGCACTGAATTGGGGGAAAGTACTATGGTAACTGAATGTATGCTAATCCAGATCTTCTTTGTTCTCAGAAGATCCCAGCCTGGTGTTGTGTTGTGTGTCCTGTGTGTCCTATCCTCATCCATGCGGTCCTGCCCCCACCCCCCACCACTCTCAGTATTGGGCTTGAGATGGGATAGAAACCAGTCCCTCAGGCAAACCTTTGAAATTTGCAATATTGGGTGTATTCTCTCCTCTTTGCCACCCCAAGGAGAACTCAGAAGCTGGGAGTTTTCTCTTGATCATGTTATACTAAGTCAGGGGGAGGTACTCTGTCTAGCAATTAAGTGCCACAAATTTGCCTACATGTTTGTTTTATACTCAACTTCAGGTATAAGAACATCTTAACTATCTTCTTGATTTCTCACAAAAGGAATTGATATATGTATTGTTAAGTCAGCATCTCTCTGGGGGAGGGAGGGCTTGAGGCTTCCTATGCTGCCATCTTGATGATGTCATCATCTCCCTTATAAGAATTTTGGCCCCTTTTCTTTTTCTTACTTTCTTTCTTTTCTTTTCTTTCTTTCTTTCTTTTTTTAAATACTGGGATTGAACCCAGGGTGTTTAACCACTGAGCCTCATCCTCAGCCCTTTTTATATTTTATTTAGAGACAGGTTCTTGCTGAGTTGCTCAAGGCCTCACTAAGTTGCTGAGCTTGGCTTTGAACATGCTCCTGCTTAGCCTCTCAAGCTGCTGGGATTACAGGCATGTGCCACTGCATCAGGCTCTTAGTCCCTTTTTTAAGGCATTGATATATTGATACATATATCAATTCCTATAGTATGTGTATTGCTATATTCTTAAGTCTTGTTAAATGGGAACAATAGAAATATGGGGAACTAAGAAATATTAATGAACTAATGAAAATCAGGTAACTAAATCATTTAATAATATTAAATCATCAACTATTATATTTAAAAATAACTTTGATCTAGTTTGGCATGTGAGGAACTTGGAAGTCATCACTCATCTCCAAAACAAACATTTTTTTTTAAATATCTTTATTTTGTTTATTTATTTTTATGTGGTCTAAACTGAAATCAATTACTTTTTTTTCTGGTACTGGGGATTTGAAAGCAGGGGTACTTTTCTACTGAGCTACACCTTCAGTCCTTTTTATTTTTTACTTTAAGACAGGTCTCACTAAGTTGCTAAGGGTCTTACTAAGATGCTGAGACTGGCCTCAAACTTGTGATACTCCAGCCTCAGCCTTCTAAATTACTGAGATTAAAGGCATGCACCATTGTTCCTTGTGAAATTTTAAAATATTTTAAACTAGATGAAAGTATACTTTGTCAAAATTCAAGGTATACAGAGAAAGTAGTGCTAAGAGGGAAATTTGTAGCATTGATTGCACATATAGAAAAGAAGAAGTATCTAAAATCAGTAAGTTTCCACTTAGGAGACTAAAAAAAAGAAT